AGGAGCGCATTAGACGCGCCTCTGTGCATTGCCCTCGCTAGTTCCTTGATTAACGGCACTGTTCCCGTTTAATGTATACAAAAATGTGTGCATGTACGAGGGGCGTTTGATAGAGTTGGCACAATGCTAGCTAAAACTCATAATGAGCACTTCCACTTAGCTCAAATATTACATGAGTAGAAAATATGCTGAGTCATTGAAGGGGCGTCAGTGGTCAGCGGTTTGAATCCCATCTAAGTAAGATCAATATTACTTGCGCTTGAAAAGGCAGAAGAGACAAGAAAAAGCTGAAGAAAATGGAAGAATCTTTCTAGAGAGTTGAAAGGTAAAGAGAGAAAAAGAAAAATTAAGCAAAATATGAAGAACAAATTCAAATCTTTCGCTTAAAATTGTCAACAAGTTAAGGTTAACTTAGCTATAGAAATGATAATTATTTAAAATAAATATATAGAGGAGCTGATCACATTGGTGTCATATACTTGTTATGCTTTAGATCTATACTTTCTAGAATTTAGGCTATTTTACTTATAATCAAAGGAGTTACTTTCGCAGCAACCCTCGTTGGCACATAAATCCCATCTGGGCTGCGCTACAGGCACCGCTTGCCACGCATTGGCATTGCCATTCGGATTCAAATTCGATTGTGAGCAGACAGTTTTTAGTGCTCGTTGTCTATTGCTCAGGTGTTGTTGTCATAGGTTCCTTGATTTGTTACTAATTGTTGTACATATTATATTTAGAAGCGAGCAGCACGCAAGGCTCTCCTGTTCGGGCGTAGCGGCGAGGTTAGACGATGCTATTTGTATTTGTTGCGGGGGTGTCTATTGCATGTTGCGTTAACTTTAATGTCTGTGCCTAGTTAGCTTTGTTATCGTTTAGTGGCCCAGTCGACTGTCAAGGTTATTGTGTCTACGTGGCTGTTGATTATGCACCTCGCTTGCTCTTGCTCTTTTACCTGTGCTTTATAGGGCTTTAGGGCTGGACTTAGCAATTGCTGACTTAGCTAATGACTCGAGCTTAGTGGCTTACGAAAGTCATTCTGTTGCGCAAATTGTCGCACTGTAAGAAATAGGTGATTGAGTCCCAATTGAAATATTGAAACTTTATTTATTGTCTTTTTGACATTTATTTCATCTTATATTATACAGAAACTTAAGCTTAGGCTTTCAACGAGCATGGCCTAGCGGCAAGGGTTACGCCTGGCAAGCGCAAATATTTATGTTTAAATCCAGCATTAAGCCCACTTTTTTATTCATTACTTACCAAATACATTCATTAAGGCTTTATATAATAAGACTTATTATTTTTCTCATTTACTTGTTATATTTAAAATATATTTAGAAAAAAAACTTCTCATTTTTTATTTATCTATATAATGCATCAATTTTATATATATAATTTTCCAGTATTTAAATATTTTAAATAAATACATACCACCTTCACGAAGCCATTTCACAAACAATTTAATTATCAAGCTTTCAAATTACCTGTAAATAAAAAAATTTTGAAATTCAATTATTTGTGGAAATTTAAGGTAAAGCGCCACACAGCGGTTTTGCTGCGTACTAAAATAAATAGCTGCATTCGCTCTTTGGGTTGTTGTCCAAATAAATGTGCTAAAAAGTACAAATGCTTTGCTAAAAGCACTAAAGGGAAATTCGTTATGTTGACTGTACACACTCACATATAGACACTCAAGGGAATCCGCCGCTCACAAATACCGGGGGTGGCTCTGCCGCTGCTGCTCTTCTGCCGCTGTTTGCTACTGTTAAAGCCGCCAGCAGAGTATTTGCCTCTCATTCGCTCTTTCATTCTGTATTCGGCATTTGCTTTGTTTTTGTTTTGCTTTTGGTTTTTGTGTTTTCTTCGCTTTTATATATTTTTTGGGGTTGCGCTTCTGTCGATATCTATCGGTATTTTTGTTGGCTTCCCTTGGCGGACATTATCTATATGTAATACACACTGATATACCCTATATATGTATATATTATGTACATACATATGTGGTATCTATGTTAATTTTCCTTTCACTACGTTCATTGATTATTTTAGTCGTTTTATGGCTAAGTTTATTCCATATTTTTCAGCAGATGCCGCCAAGTGACACTTGAGGAATCTCTAAAGATGAGTGCCTCAATGGCTGTTCTCTAAGCACACGTGTGTGTGTGTGTAAAAGCTTTGTGCCACTGCGCATGTATGTGTTTAACAGCCCCTTAAAGGCTGCGTCGCAATAGATGAATCATGTATATGTCGAACAGGCAAGCCTGCTTAAAGCTAATCGCTTAACACTAATCTGGTACAGCGTGAAGACTACGAACCGGTGAGGAACCAGGAATGCCTTGGTATTCCGAATCATGGCCTGGCCTGGCCTTATGATAGATTATGATAGATTCCCATTTAATGAAGTGAAAGAGGCATATTCGTTCGTATGCCATCTTTGCATTATTTTCATCTGTTCGTATGAACACTGTTGAAGCTAGAGACTTGAGATTTAAAATATATGTTCAAGGCGTACTACTTGTGTATACTCTCATCTGCTAGTTTCCAGATTGAAACTAAATCTTAAATCATTTATACATATTTAAAGATCAAGAACTGATAGATTACTTAGATTTCGATCAGGCTCATGGAATCGTTTTTCCAATCGGTAAATATTAGATTTTTAATTAGGCTTGACATTTATAGTTTCTATACATTTTAGATAGCAAAATATTAGTTTTCCTACATTTTTGGACTTATAGTTTTCTTATATATTTTATTTCTTTATTTTGTTTATTTCTTTTTTATTTTATTTGTCTTATTTCATTTGTTTTATTTTATTTATTTAATTTACTTACTTTAAAAATGAGATTAGGATTCATATAGATAATATGATAAGATACCTAAGGCATTAACTGAGTTTCTAAATGTTTAAACAAACAAAAAAACAATTCCAATTAGTTATGACAGCATTTAGATAGAGGGTAGCTTAAATATTTTGCAGCTTTTACAAAAAAAAAAAAAACAAAAAATTATATATTACAAAAATAATAATAAAAATAATAAATAAAATATATTTTTCTATTTCACCGCCTTGTTTTTTAAATCTTCTTTAATATGCCAAACTTTTTAAACCAAACACGCAAATTGAAACATTCAAAGTTATTTTAAATTGATTTCCTTTAAAAATAAATTCATCTTAAATCTTGTTTCACTATTCTTCTATTATGTACATGATCACAAACGATTATGGCAACATATAGAACGAGGGCTAATCGACAAGTTAGCAAGCTTACCAAAAGTAAGGATATTTATATTAATTTAACTAAATTAACTTTTTGTCTTGAAATCTCTAACTAGTTTAACCTACATTAAGCTCGTGAACTTTTCAAACCACCCCCGCCTAACTGTCAAGGGTATTTCAAGTGCAACACCCTTAAGCTAACTGTATATTCAGTTACCTGTTAATTTATCAGCTAACGATATTTATAGCTGCTCCGACAGTTGGGGCTAAAAACATTTGTAGTTTTGACGCACTTCGATTATTGATTGCCACAAAATGTGGCAACTGCGCGGCACGCACGCAGCGTTGCCCCAAAAGGGGCAACTGCCAATATGGCCAGGCCATAGCGAGAACAACAAATTATGCGACAACCACAGAGCCAAATGCGGCAACATTGGGTAACCAGACGATCCACCTCGAGACGAGACGAGACGCGACGTGGCAGCTAAGCCAAGCTGTGCCATGATCTCTCTCCCAGTAGCAGTGGCGAAAGTGTGGCCCGGCCATAATATGCAATCTGAAATCTGTACGATGCCAAGCAGCGCTTTGACCGAGTTTAATGAACTGAGCCCAGCGCGCTGGGCGGGGCTCGCCTTGCCACCCTGTTAAGGGTTGAGTTCGTTTCGGCTTAGGGGTGGCTGCTGTTGCAATTTGCGTGCCAAGCGACACTTTGTTAGAGAGCAGAAAACAATTAAGGCAACACCCAGGCAGTGTCACGCACACACACACACACACACACACACAGAGCCCTTTGATGTCTTTATTAATCTTTGGCCAAAATTTTATTGATCAAACTTTTAAATGCCAAAAAACTTCAATTAATTAATAAAGTGTGCAAAGTATGCGGCATTTCAAATTAGCATTCACCTGGCACACACACCAACACACACCAACACACACCTACACACACATGACAACTTAATAAATGTTGCTTGTGCGCGCTTTTCATGTTAATTTGTTGCTGCGCTTCTAGCATCGAGTGCAATCGGCCAAGCCCTACCCCCCCGCACCCCCTCCTCGTAAACAGATTTGTGGGACGCCACTTTGCATGCAAATTATGTTGGCATTAAGGGTCATTCTATACACACACACACACTCACGTAACACACTTTTCGATTTGGCACAGTTTTCATTCTATTCTAAATACTTTTTCTAGTGCTGCTCGTCACTTTGAAAAGATCAACAACAGATTTGTTTGCTTAAGCATGACTGACTATCAAATGCCCTATAATACATTATAGTGACTGACTATCTAATACTCTAGATATTTGCCTGTATATATAAACATTACAGTGACTGACTATATAATTCCCATAGTATTGGCTGACTATGTAATACCCTAGATATTTACCATTATATAGACATTACTATGACTGACTATTAAATGCCCTATAATACATTATAGTAACTGACTATCTAATACCCTAGATATTTGCCTTTAAATATTGACATTGCAGTGACTGACTATCTAATAACCCAGACACAATAATGACTGACTGTAAAATACCCTAGATATTTGCATTTAGAGAGCTTGACTTCAGGCAACCAATTTGAAGGCACTGAATATTTGCTTGAAATACTAAGCGAATCAGTGAAAGTTGCTTTTGAAGCATGACGTCCTAAAGATGTCGGTAACAACAATTTATTTCCCAGATCAGTTACAGCTAAAGTATAGATTAAAGCACTCAAATCTAGATTAGCTAAGCCACTTAATTATGCAGAAAGTCGTATTTCAAGACTTACAGCATTTGCAGATTGCAAAGCGAAAATACAAAATGTATTTTATTCTAATATTTATCATACTCGGAACATTGCATGGATCTATTAAAGCTGAGGTAATGCTGAAGAGACATATAATATAAAGACTATGATATAAATACAAACCGATTGTAGACCGTCGAGGAGTTGCAAGCACGTTTGCATGCATTGGAGCAGGAAAATAACAGACTAAAGACAGAGAATGTGAAGCTTGAATCTGCAGCAGCCGAAAGCGCCAAAAAGAATAAGGAGATCGAATCTTTGGAGAAAGCGAAAGACGCTTGCTCTAATCCCAAATCAACGAATGTGGACGACGGACTAGCTCTGGCCATATATTTGCGCACACATTATAGGAAACTTAGAACCGAATCGGGTTACAAACGGCTGATACAATGCACGCACAGCTTGAGCTCTCCGGCAATGCATAGCTGTGTACCGTTCAAAGAGTTTACGGGCATTAAGATTATTGCGCTGCCCGGCGAGAAACCGTTTAGCGTGTGGTGCGATAGCACCACAGCTGGCTCCGGCTGGCTGGTCATCCAGAACCGATTCGATGGATCCGAAAATTTCGCTAGGACTTGGGCTGAATACCGAGACGGGTTCGGGCAACTGGATAAGGAGTTCTTTCTGGGCCTGGAGCATATCTACAAACTGACCAACTATCAGAGGTTCGAGCTGTTTGTGGAAGCCGTGGCCTACAACGGTAAAGTTGACTGGGCCCGCTACGATGATTTTCTCATAGGCAACGAGGATGAGTCCTACATGCTGAAGCGCGTCGGCAGCTATGCGGGCACGGCAGATGTCTTATCTAGAAACGTGTACAGCAAATTCTCCACCTTCGACATGGAAAGCAATCCCAACAATTATTCCCACGTCTATCACGGCGGCTATTGGTATATTATCAACTCGTTGCAAAGCAGGTGAGCTCCTTTATTTGCTACAGCATATTATATTTATTTATTAATTGTTTTTTTGTTGCCATTAGCAATCTTAACGGCGAATATCTTAGAAGTCCCACACATTCTAAATTTGGCATGCATTGGGCCACAGGCGAGAGTGAGAAAGCTGTCAAAATGATGATTCGCCCACAGTTTGCATGAACTGTGATTGATTTGGCAAAATTTTAATAAACTAATAAACAATTAATAGACAGAGAACATATATAATATAGAATATAGAATCTATATAAATTTGTCTCAGCATTTCACATTTCTAGTTATTTACGACTGAAGCGCAACGAGAGCCTTAGAGCAAGCAGACGACTAAACAAGAGATTCTTCCGGATTCGAACCCCATACGTGGCAATTATGTAATTTTCTTTACATCTTCTATTTTTATTATTCCTAAAATAACATGAAACAAATGAAAGCAAGGTTCATTTAATATTAAGCTAACGCATAGATATCAGTTCATTGGCAGCTGGAGATAATGTGAAAAGTGAAAGAGACGATGGCACGCCAAGCACGAGTCTCTGGGTTCGAAGTGGAGCCGGAGGTGCCCGACTTAGCTTAAAGAGTTCTAAAAATAGACGTGACACTAAAGGCATGGCGCAATGTCTTGTATTAGGCTAAAGCACAACCACCCACTCATTCAGATAGACGCCGAGATCAAGCCTTGTCCAGACCAAAGGATTGTTACAAAGAACAATTCTTTGTTTTTCTATATTTTAAATTTCATTTTTTTCACTTGATACTTATAATAATAAATACAAAACAATTTATTTATTTAAAACCATTATTTTTGTAGCTGTTTGTTTTAGAATCTGCCCGTAATTGGAACGAATTACATTAACAATTTTAAAGCAAAACGAAAACAATTAACGCGTTATAACACAACCGTTGCAACTACAGTTTAATGCTTTATTTATTTTAATTAATAATATTCGACTAAATTTACAGATATTAGCATCAAGTGCTTCCACCTTTAGTTACTAACGGGACTTTAGGCGGCTAGGCAAAATGAATAAAATCACACTCTTGGTTCTACTCGGATCATTTCTGGGAATGGTCAAAGCTCTTAGCGTGACGGTAATTAGCGAGCGATCAGTACATATATAAATAGGATAGATTATCTGATAAAACTATGTACTCCTTGCAGACCGCGCAGGAGGTGCAGGCGAGTTTGGATGAGGCGACAAAGCTAAATCAGAAGCTAAAGGCAAGGAACGTTGAACTCACATCAAAAGTAAAAGCGAATCATGAAAAGGACGAGAAGATCGAAGCCCAAAGGCCGAAGGCCAAAACCGCGAAAAACTGCGAAGCGAATGCTGTTAGGTCTATAAGAAATAATAATGCAAGCCACATAGTTGTCCCGCGCTTCCCCATGTTTAATGCCTTATTGAAGAAAAATCCAAATTTAAGAGTCAAATCAGTTCAAATGGAGCTGTTAACGTGTCTTAAAAAAAAACACAAATAAACACAGCTCGACTGGTCGGTGTCAGCAAATGCGTGGCTTAAATATGAAGATTTTTGAATAAAAATTAGATCAAAAAGTTAAAGTTACTGAAAGATCGAACTTTGCGCGAGAGAGAGAACAAGATACAGAGAGCAAGAAAGAGCAGAGAGCAACATATAGAAAGAAAGAAAGAGAGATAGAGAGAGAGAGACAGCACGCTTACATGTTTTTAAATTTTACACTTAGCTAATTAACTAAATGAAGAAAAAAAACTCTCAGCTTTGGTGAGCATTTTTTCACATGGAAAACATTGAATTTTCCATAAGCTTTGCATCGAAAGAGGTTTTCAATTATTTTTAGGCAAATGCGTAAATGACGAATACGTAAATCAATTAATCGTCGGGCGAATTAATCATAAACGCCTTATAAGGGCTACACGCATGTCTACCTAAAAAGTACAGGAAACTTTACATAGATTTTCGTGCTTCATTTGCTCTCAGCCGGCAGGGCGTGCCGGCAGCAACAACAACAAAAACTCATATATGGCACTAAATGCTTGGAAATTAGATAGATTTTGTGTTTTAATAGCGGATGCCATAGCAATTAGCAGAGACTTCTCAACGACGAGAGCATTCTAACACTCATACAGCTGATGCTCTGTTAAAATTGTGGAAGAAGAGTATATTGGATTAGAAGCTTTGCCGTCTGCTTGAAGAAAGTAAAAATGTAGCACGGAAAATCAACTGCAACTGAGACTAATTTTCGCTCAGCTGGCGTGCAAAATTGTGTTAATTAAAGACAAATACCTAAGCAGAGTAGGTGACAGAATTGCAGTCAAAGTTATCTATTTATAAGCTAGATCAGCACACACTCTCACTCTCTGTCTCTTGTTCGCTCACTACTATGTGAGAAGCACATAGAGAGGCCTGTGCACACACTTATCTGTCAAGTGCGCAAATATAGATAGAAATAGTTTAGCTGAGGTGCGAGTGTATCACCTGTTAGCAAAGTTCAGCATTAAATAAACATGAACCCAGGTAAAAGGAAAAGCGAAGAAAACAATTCCTGAAGATTGTATTCCCTTAAAAAATAGTTCTTAAAGAGTTTGGAAATATTACTTAAGAAAGACTAGTAGAGATAATTGGTATTATTTTATAATTAATATAATGATCATGATAATTATAGTTATTGCATTGGCTAGAAGCTGTAATAGGCATAGCTAAAATTATAAGTGCAGTCAAAGGAGAGACCATAATGCCGAAGGGAGTAGAAAGATAAAGATACTTGCAGAAGATTCTGACTCTTTGCCGAAAATGCAGAAACAGCGGCATCTGGACGCAGGAAGATGAATAGAAGTGCTTAAGGCATATAGAAGGGCTTCACATTTCAGCTTAATAGTTAATGTTGTCAAGTTGGGAAGCAGATCAAGTAGAGAAGGTTGATTTGAGAGGAAGACGAACTGCTCTGGGAGACGACTTGACTGATGCTGCATAAGTCATATGACTCCACTCTAACTACATAAGGAAAACAATTGTCATCATTAACATCATTAGCCCTATTATTATTGTTATCATTAAAATCATTACTATTATAAGCAGTCTATTCAAATGGAATATTAGCTTAGTATAGTATATAAACTTTTGTCCTATAAAAACTAGATTGTGATAAGATTTTGCTTACTTAGCCAGTAAGTAGTTAACATTGGTTATGAAGTCAATAAAAATCATTAATTAACTGGGCTTAGATAGTTTTAAGTTTGACAGCTTTAAAGCTACAATACGCTGACCTAACATCTAAGCCAATAATTTCATTATCAAAAATTTAAGCAAGACAGTTTCAAAGAGTCTTCTCAGATACTGATCTTAATTAGGAATATATATTCGAGCATACATAATTAATAATATATTTATGCGTTACATGGCACATCATATTACAATACAATGCCTGTTGTAAGAGTATAAAAAAAGAGTCAAACACAAGCATATTTGTATGCAATCATATATTTAAAATATAGATTATTATATATACTTATATATATACGTATATAGATAGTTAATATATATATATATGAACTAACAGTTCGGACAAAAGTAGGTGACGCTGACGTCGACGCCGATGACTTCATGTGAGTGACACAGCTGAGCAAATGAGCAAATGAGCAAATGCGTGAATGAGTGAATGCAAGAATGAGCGAATGAGCGAATGAGAGATGGAGAGCAGCAGATAACTGATAGCAATCAGCAACAATATTTATTTATATTTTTAGTCTCTTTTTGTTTGCGCTTGTTGCTAGTTTATGTTATTTAGCACTAAGATAAAAGAGCACAAAACAATAACAATTTTTGTTGTTGTTGTAGCTGTGATTATTTAACCGAGCCGGTTTGCAGTTGCGTTGAGCACTTGATTTAATCAGTGCCAGAGGTGACATAGTGAATGGGACTACAGAGCTATGTGTGCAACTGTGTAGCACAGTGTAAGTGTGAGAGACAGAAAACCAAATGAAGCACAAAAACTATGCTTGAAGATAAACAAGAGTTTTTAAGTCTAGCGACTGTTAGAGTTAGATCATAGACAGTTGGCTGAAGCCTCGAATTCAACGTGTACAAGTCAAAAGCTAATATGCCCACTTCATAAACAGATATAAATTAACCATTTTAAGTTCAATTAGTGAATTTGTTTTTAGCTATTAATATATATATCTCGATGTATATATTGAAGCGCTGATCTGGTCTGTCAGTAAAGACAGTTGATTCAGATTTAAATTTGAAATCTGATAAGACGAGCATACAAAGTGCTCCATTGAACCAAATGTTCATATAAATCTAAATGCTAAGTTTCATTTTCCAGCCGACTTTTGATCATATTCCTAGACAGATTTTATTTAATCAGTGATTAGGCCAAACGCATGCGTTTAGCTGAATGACAAAGTCATAAAGATACCATCAGCGAAGCTAGCTTAATTGAAACGAGGTCATATGCAGAGTGCAGACCGCAAACAGCAGCAGCGGCAGCAGCAGCTGGTGCTGCGGCTGAGGCAATCAGAGATGATGAGAGCAGAAACTAAAGCAGTGGCAGGGGAAGAGATAGAGATAGGAGCAAGTGGGAGAAACAGGGGCTGGGACAGTCACAAAAGTCAGGGCAGGACAATTGCAACGGCGACGCTGGTCGACTAAGCTGAAAGGCAGGGATAACACAAACAGCAATAGCAGGAGTTGTGGACAAAGATAGGACCAAAGGTAGAGGTAGAAGCAGAAATACGGGCACAGACGCAGACTGCAGCAGGGAAAGGATCAGAGGCAGGGACAGAGATTACATGCAACGGCCACGCTGCTCAATGTGCTGACGCAAGGGCAGGGGCAAGCACAGGGTCTAACAGGCAGAGCCAGTGGCATGCAACGCTTAGGCAACTCGAGTTACTGATAACTTGCAACGCACATAAAGCTGATGTTAGATTTACAATGCATGCGAGGCACAATTAAAACGTTGCTGACAGGTCGTTGCGCCCATGCCACATCTAGCAGACAATGGCTGCCACGTCCTGTGGCACATCCCGCCTGGCTGATGCCTGCTGATAGCGGGCTTAACTCTAGAGTGCCCGCTCTCCAGACACGAACATTAAGCACAAACAACTCTTTTTTCAAGCCGCTCGACAGTTGTGCAAACAGCAACAATGAACATGTTGTCCAAGTATTGCACGACGAAGACATACACTAACTGATGTGTGTGCTCAAATTGTGATATGAACTATAGATCGATATATATAGGCATCTGTTGTTGAAGCTTGAATCGAGTCTATACTAATCGGCATGTGTCTAAGAGAGTATTATGTATATATAAGTGGGCTTAACTTTTTTTAAACACTATTCACTTTTCAATTGGAAATTCATATTCATAGATCGATAAATATCGATTTGTATTTTTGAAGATTGAATCAAATTAAATTCAAGTTTTTCCCATAGATAAAACTCAAGTTACATTAGCAGCTGTATGATATGATAATGTAGTCTGATTTGAATCGATTGCAAGATATATATATAATATCTGAATTGATATGATATGAATATGATATTTTAATATATATGATCTGAATCAGTTTTATTATATATAGACACTCTATTAAGCTTATATTCAGAGACTCCTTCATGAACTCTTAAAGTGAATTGAAATATTGAACTCGCCTTGCTCAGTGAGCAAGGATATATACCCATATACAGACATATATACACATACACATACACATACATATATACACATATCTATATGAATATATATAGGTTTTCATTCTCTTTCGGTCCCTTAACTGCACATTAATATCTTAAACTTATTAAACTACTCTCGTTTCTAACTGTTGCCATCTTCTTGGCTGCTTGCCGCATATTCAATGCCCAAATTACAATACCCTTTGTTAGGGTATACAAATCTATTTGCGCAACAGCTAAATGCCGCTAGAAAATATGACGTGAGCCGGTTCGGTGGTGCGCCGGTGGTGCATGTTTAGCTGATATAACCATCAGCGTGCCCGGGTGTGCCAAACACTTTGACTAATTGAACGATAGATATACATATCGATAGAGCATATAAACGGAGTCGTAATTGATTTGCGACGTGTTAACATGGCGTATGCGTAATGTGTGTCAGCTCACCTTTTTGCTCCTGACCAGCGCGTGCCGCTGAAGCCGGCTCCGGCTTCTGTTGCTGTTGCTGTTGTTGTTGTTGCTGCTGCTGCTGCTGTTGTTGTTGTAGCTGCGCTTCCTGTTGCAGCAGCACGGGCTGCACTGGGCGCGTTTCGGGCAATGTGGGCACCGCAGCTTCCAGCACAGAGCTTTTCTCCATGACATCCGCCATATTGAAAATGCCTGTGTGTATATATACGTGTGTATGTGTGTGTGTTGCACTTAGTACAGGACTTTTTTTTGCTCGTTGTGTGTACTCGTTTGTGTGTTAAATTTTATTTTTTCTTCAAAACTTTTTGCTTCACAATTCACAATTTGATTTGCTTGGCTTTTGGAATGCTTTGGCTTCAGTTGCCGTCTTTTCTTTTAAACAATGAAATCGCACCAATATTTATAAGATTAGCTATATTTAACAATAATAATGCTGATAAAATTTGTTTTTTATTTATTTTTTATTCACTTTTTACACTCTGCTTCGGTTTTTCAGCTCTACTTTTTGCAGTATTTTATTTAGTTTTCTTGAATTTTTGGCAATGCAATTTTCTGAGAGCGTTTGGCGCTGCGCTTCGTATCTTTTGGGTTTGTTATCTCGTTTTCAACTGATTTTCAGTTCGGTTGAAATTCCTAATTAACGTCTGCTCGGGCAGAGGCGCAAGCTGTATGCGAAAGCTTTCGATTTAGTACATGCGCAGGGGTAAAACCAGCGAAGCTTTTTTCGAACAATAGCTGCAGCGCCATCTGTTGGCTGTCACTGCTGCGTGTTTCACTTTTTCAACACACGATTTTTTGTATTGAATCTTTGAACGTTTTTCAGTTTTCGCTTTATTTATTTAAATTTATAAAATAAATTTTACCAAACAATTTTTGAATTGAATTATTAAATATGTGAATTGTTTATTGCTTAAGCAAAATAAACCACAACAATTAAAAAATATTAAAAAATCATTAAAAACCTTCAAAATTTAAATAATGTATAAATCTTTCAGCAGAAGAATAAACATATTTATAGTATATTGACATCGCAGAGCTGACAATACTTGCAAGCATAAAGCTCTTTCAGTTATTTCCATATGCTAAGAATATGCATCCAACACTTAAAAATTCACAATCAACCTGAATATTTATCAAATCATTTCGAACTACCCTCGAAACATATATATGTAGCCAAATTTGTAAAAGCCAACCAATTTTGATTACATTTTTGGCATTTTAGTAATGGCAACAAAGTTAATTAAACTCTAAGCTCGAGAGAATCTTGCTAGCTCTCAACTTACTACTCCGACTTAAGCAAGTTAGATTCGATATAGCTTCAAGGCTAAGGAACTACGAATGCAATGAATGCTTTTGCTACTCGGTTTATTTGCGTCTGTTTTAAAACTGAATATTCATAATGGAAACTTAAGAGAGAGAGAGAGAAATCATCAAACAACAAAATAAAATTGCCAACGAAACTTATTTTTTTTTTCATTTTTTTTTGTTTGTTTGTTTTGTTTTTGTTTTCGTTATGTTTTTTTATAATTTAAATTTTTTTTTATTTTTTAAAAAATAATATTATCTTGAAGTTCAATTTTTGCAGTTGTAGTAGCAGAAGTAAAATTTAATTAAAATAATATACGAGAGAGAGATAGAGAGAGTTAGCGATGAATATAACATCTATGGAGAATGGCTGTTTGCTATAAATTTATTGAATTGTTGTTGTTGTTGTTGGTGTTGTTGTTGTTATATTTATAGCTGATCTGGTCTGTCACACATTCTGGCGAGGAATGCTATAAGATGAGAAAGAATTTCATATCAGATATGTATCATATATATATAGAGACAGAGAGAGAGAGAGATACAGCCGATCACATAGTTTGGGCAGACAAGAGAACTTACTGTTTAGTCGAAGACGACGGGATCGCTCATCAAGCGCTGGATGAACTCTGGAGGAGCGGTTCATCGGTGTTCAACATACAGGTGGTGGTGCAGTGGTGCAGTTGTGCAGTGGTGCAGTGGGTCACACAGAAAACACACACATAGACAAGACGTGGGAGTGTGTTTAGAGTGCATTTCGATTGAGTGTTTGAGTGATTGGATAACAAGTAGATGTGCGAGTGAGTGAGTGTGTGAGTGTGTGTGTGCGTGCGAGTGTGTGTACATGTAAAAAATACAAATAACATTATGTAGCACATACATAGACAAATGGAACACACAATTCCGAATGCGATTTGACGAGAATTTCTACTTACGAGAATATGGGATCATGCCCTCATCATCCTCGGGATCCATGCAGTCAGCGAACAGAGTCTCGACCTGCTCATCATCCAGGGACTCACCTGTTAACGAAAGAAACAACAAATTAGAGTCAGTCAGAGATCAGACGTATTTTCCATTTACCAAGGGCCAACAGGGCGTGCTGCAATTCAGCGAGCAGCATGGTGCCATTCTCCTCCTTGTCGTACAGCTTCAAGCACTCAATGAAATCCTCGTAGCAGCCCTGCTCCTTCTCCTTCTTCACTTGCGAGTAGATGGGCAGGAATTCGTCCATTTTGATCTTCTTCTCGTTGCGCTTCTTGGTGCCGCCCATTTTCTCGATCAAAGCGAGGGTGGGGTTCAAGTTCAGAGCGCGCAGAGCATCGCCAAGATCGAAGGCATCGATGCCCTCGCCGGGTGAGCCCATAACTTCGAAAACGAATTCGACATCTGTGCGAAAGGAATTAATTAATTACAATTGTAGCTGTTAATATTAAATCGATAACTTATTTATCGATAAGTTTTTTTTTATTTATTTATGAAATCATTTGATTGAGGTCAAATTCAATAACCCTGAAACTAAGGCTACGCACATTTTTGGTCATCATTCACATTACGCAGCAAGTGTGTGTATGAGTGTGTATGAGTGTGTATGTGTGTGCATGTGTGTGTATGTGTGTGGGCGCATTGCCAACACGTAGCTCATATACATATACGTATACGTAATTCGACACTCGAACGCTACAGTATATGCTATACACACACACACATACCCACACACACACACATACACATACATATCTATATTATGCATATGTATATGTGTATGTATGCTCTTTGGCAGTGCGTTTCAACAAAAATAAATTTGTTGAAATAACTTGGCCAAAATTAGATCGTGCGCTCTGCTCATAGATATCTATATATATATATATATATATATATATATATATATATATATATATATGTATGTATATACACACAAATTTTCCATTGTTTTTCCTCAGCTTTTCTAGTCTTCAAATATATTTTTTTATATTTTAATATTCACAAACTTTAAAAGCATATTTTTCTTCCATATGATATATCTATATATAGATATAGATATAGCTGATATATATATAATTTCGCAACGATTACGAAATATATTTTTGCCGTATATCCCACGCATATCCATGTGCTTTTACTTTATATAAATAAGTATGTCTATATATGTATAACACACGCGCACATTATGTAATCACTTTTTGTGGATCTTTTGCAGATCTTCATGGATCATATTTTATATTTTTTTCTGTAGCTCGCAAGCTTTAGGGTTTTTTATATAGTTTCTTTGAGGTTAGAATTGTAATCCTTTGTTGACTGGTTGTATTTTTTAACTTACTTTCAACTTCACGCTTTGGAACATCAGCCTGTTAGTTTGAAGAGTAGAAAAAGAATTTTAGAATTTAATTTCTTTGAGTTTTTGTTCACATATTTTCTTCTATAGTCAGTATAGATATTTTTACATTTTTTCTATTTTTTTTTATATATTTTTCTTCAGTTTATTGGTATCACTCACCATTTTGTCTATTGAATGCGAAAAGCAACTGTATCGCGGATGAGCTCGGTCTCGACTGAACGTTATTCGTCAGTGGCCGCACGGCAAGGTAATGTGCTGAGGTGATGCTGACCAGCTCACACACACACATACACACATACATGGATGTATATAGAAACATATGCAAAAGAATTTACTTTCATCTGGGCAACATTTTCAAATATTCTCTTGTTCTCCCTCTCTCTCAGTCAGTCTCTCTCTCTTTGTATGCTCTCTGCTACATGTTTCTATTTTTAAGATATATATATGTATATATATGTTTGTGAGACTTTTCCGATATGTGTGCCTGCAAAATAATAATCAGTTGTGGCATCGTGTTGAATATCATTTGATGTTAAAGATAATATCTTAGGCGCTTATTGTATTTAGACAGACCTTCTGTATGTATGTCTCTATGCCCACACAAATATATATATATATATATATATATAGTTTTTAGATATTTAGTGTCTGTCGACCCTGATCGTCTGTTTGGCAAAGTCGCATTTTATTGAATTTTCTTTTTATCATTCAGGATGTTTTTTTTATTTTCCTATGCCTAAAAAACACCTGAATCGCTGAATAGCTTTCAAAATACGTAATTTGTTTGAGTTCCTTCTCAGCTATCAGCTATCTCGCTCGCTTAAGATCTCTAGCTCTCATCTACATAGAAGGCGTATTACTGGGCACCCAATCCAATTGTATTTCTCGCTCTGTGTGTCTACAACACGAACGAAGAAATTTTTGTTCATTTTGAATGCGCGCTATTTATAAAAACTATGACACAGATACACCAAATTGTATTCAGAGCATTCATCTACGACGCATATATATCTACTGTTCCTATATACACGAACGCATAGTTGTTTATATACATATATAAATATGTATATATTTATAGTTTTAAGGAAGTTTGTATTTAAAAGGCATAAATTCTGATTGAGCAATTAGCACAACGAAAAGTTGTTTCTAATTGGCATCGTTGTCCTTGGTGGCGGCTGCTTTGACCCGGTTTAGGCCTAACAGCTGTTCAAGCCAAGGTTTTTGCGGCGCAGCCTCCTGGTGCGCAACAACCTGTTGATGCATGTGGTATATAGAGGCTGGGTTTTGGCATACATGCTGCTCTTAGGCCAGCCCAACAGCTGCTCAGCTGCTCAGCGTCTCAGCTGCTCGGCTTATCAAAATGGACCAACTGTGCGCAGTGGCAATTGCGCAACTCATTGATAAAAATTTGCTGCAAACTATTTCGCTGGGAGTTCTTCAGCAACAAAAACAAGTTAGCATCAGTCGAGAGCCTCCAAGTGCCTTACACTCGTTCACAGCTCAAAAAAAAGTCATTTTAGGCTTACTTTAAAAGAGAGTCTGCAATAGCTTCAAAACTTTTGAATATATACTTTGTCCACCACTATATATTATACTATATCTGCTATATATTTTTGTTCTTGAATTGATTACACGAAACTTCAATTATTTCAATTATTTCAATTAAGCCTCAAAGTCTCAATGGCCTTAAATAATTATTTTTCTTTTAGATCAGATATAGTATTTGACTGGGTGCAGCAGCAAAAATCTTAACAATTTATTAGACTCAATGAGTATATATTTAAGATTTCAAGTCATCCTTTGCATAAGACCAATATACACTTTTCACTTCCTGCACGAGTATAAACATTCTAAATCGTTTATTGCACCCTGTATAACACTGAGCAGAGTAAAGCAGAGCAGCTGCTCGGGAAGTCGCATGTCAGCCTTTAGTACCTCCTGCTGCTGTGAAAGCTTAACAGCAGCAGAAACTAAGTTAAGTCGTCAAATTCTAGAAACTCTAAATGAATGCAAAATTAAATAATATAAAAAAATTAAATTAAATTAAATAAAATGAATAACAAATAAAATAAAATTAATTAAATAAATTGAAATAAGCAATAATTAATAAAAAAAGATATCTTGCATACATTGATATCAAAATATAATATTAAATAGAAAAAGATTTTGATTTACAGCTGAGAGAGTTGACGAGATGAATTCAGCTGAAACTTCCATAGCAATTGAGACTCTCTTAAGGGTCAAAGGAACCTAAAAGATTGATTACTTCTGCTTACTTTAAAGCACTTCAGAATATGTTACCTATAATAAATGTTCATGACAATTAATAAAGGCTAAACTGAAAATCAATCCATTTAATGGCAATCTATAGTTTTTTATGGCCAACACTTAAGGCTGACATTTTGTTATTTAAGCAGACTTCACCCTTAAAATAAGCAAACAACAACAACTGCAATAATAATAACAATAGCCTTAATGATAAGCAGACAGGGACATACATAAAAGCGTTGCTGACAGCCGCACATGCGGCGTATACGCAATTTTCAACCCTCACGCAAAGAGACAACGACTGCTTGTTATCATTGATAAGTGCGCCAAGTGAACAGGGTGAGACAATTGAAGCTGAAGGGCGCACCCTGTACAGCCCTTTGTGTGTGCAGCAGTTACTCTTTGGGCTCGGCAGTGCGTATACTTAATGTGCGTTCGTATGTTTGCTAACATTGATAAGTGTGGGAAGTGTATAGGGTGCGCTAGACAAAAGGCTGTAGCTGAGCCTAGCAAACATGGTACTGCGCTGAAAAGTGCACACTCAAGCTGAAGCTGGACCTGATATTGAAGCTTTTGCTGTATAGCTACTCGTATACTTAATATAAGTCTCTTTATTTGATTAATATCATGGACTAGTATATGCCAGATAAAATCCTAGTAGCTAGAAAGCAAGCACCCTGTTTCCGTTTTGCTTGGGGGTGGCTGTGCGTATACTTAATATGTGTGTTGGATTGTGTATACGCAGCAGGCTGCTCCTGTCGCTGGCAACGACGAGCAACGAGAAGGACATGACGACGATGTGAATAGCTCGTCCTGTTAACGAGGCGACGCTTTGTCCCAGTTGCATCCGAACGCTACAGCCGTCAACTTTATCGAAAGCTGGCAACGCGCAAATCTAGGTAAAAAACCAGCAAAAACCCTAAATTTTTTTGCCATTAAAATGGAAAAGTAAAAGTTAATGCCTATCGCAGCCGTTCAAGTTCAACAAAGAAAGTCGAGCTAAGTAAATTTAGCTGCCAATTGGCGCTAGTGCGAGTTGAGTTGGCGCTGCCAAACCCTTTGCTGGAGCTATTTATCCTTTGGGTGCGGTCGCAATTCACGCAAATTGCTGGAAATAAACATCGAAATTAAGCGTTTGATTTGAGTGCGTGTCAAATTGTCAAATTGTTTGACAATTGCCAGCGCATAAAGCAAAAATTGTTATATAAGTGAGCAGCGGTTGGGCAAGAAAAATGTGTGTGAAAATTTCGTCTGCACTGAAAAATTTATTTGCATGTATACCAAAATGAAATTTCAATTCTGTATCTATAACTCGGACGACGCGAAGCTGCGGAGTCTGCGTTCTGCGCAGCCTTCAAAGAGCACAGCTGGCCGCTGTTGCGATGAGCAGGGCATGGGCAGGGGTGTGCGAATGAGTGTGTGTGTGCTGTAGAAATCTGTTTTGGCACTGACCTAGACGCCGACTGACTCTTGTTGAGCCTGCGCACGCAAATACTTGTTGCATGCAAATGCCATGGCATGCTACCCGTGCCTCACCCCACCTCATTTGTATGCCTTCCAAGCCACTGCAGATGTGTGAAGATGTGATGGGGTATATTGGCGGCAGAAGGGACTGCACGGGCCATATATATTGCTGATCCTGCTTCTAGCTGGCCATAGCTAGAAATATAAACTTTGACTCTATAGCTCAAGCAAAAGTGATAACAAAAGAAATTGCTATGTGCCCAAATCAGTTTGAAATATTATTTACATTTTGATTCTATATTAGAATTATAAACATTTCAATTGTAGGAATCAGAAGGTCGTTTGAGTATCAACTTGTCTGGGCTTGCTTCAATACTAGTTGCTATGACAGCTATATTTACTAGAATTCTAATCGAGCTCCTTCTATATGTTGGCTTAAAATGCAAAAAAGGTATAATCATGCTTCAAATTCTTTCGCTGTGAGTAAGCACTGAAGTCAAGATGACGACTGAAGAAACTCACGTACGTGTACTTCGTTTTATACATATAAAATTCATTCATGATTAAATGCCAAAGATTATTGAAAATGTTAGCAGCTTTGCTTGCTCTACAACTAAAACAACTGCTAAGCCAAAGCTGTTCAAAATAGCATCACTCTTGTCTGGCCACTCTATATAATATTTTTAGAAAATTCATTTTTAATGCAAATTGTTTACACAGTCCTCGTTTATGCTCAAATATAATATATTATTTTTCTCGATATACTGTTTGAATATCAATAAAAATCTATTTGCATACGCAATTCAATAAATTTAAGAGCTGAAGACATGCAGCTCAATATTCAGCAGTAATTTCTTTAGACTGAGTAAACGAGTATGAACATCATATTCGATCAAAATTTCAGCTCACAGCCGTAGGCAGGGTATTTTCCAGTCAGTCACGCAATCACAGTCGACTAGCTCGCTCTACTTTGCTTTGCTTGAATGAGCTGACGTTGCTCAACAGTTGCATGTGATTAACTCGAGTCTGTCCTTGCAGCTGGCCACGATGGTGACCAATGCGACAAACAACAACAATCTGCAGGCGAACAACAACAGTTCGACGCCGAACAATAACAACGATGACTTTGACATTGACCAGGACGATGGCCTGCAGGACCTCGGCCTGCCCGTCTCCGTCCAAACGTTCCTGTGGCGCCAAATAGCGCCCTTCATCCGGCCGCGCCTGGGCAAGCTGCATGAGGCCAGCTGCATGGTAAGTGTGTCAGCCAAAAAGGGAAAAGCAACTGAAAAAATCATATGAAAGCAAAAGAGAACTAAAAACTTGGCTAACAAAACACAAAACCCTACCAAAGGTGCCTACTACTAAGCTTGGAAACTAACAAACTAATTAAAAGTCAAAAGTCTAAATGAAAAAAGTCTCTAAATTATCTTTGGCCTGGCCAAAGCTGATATACCCTGGCAGTTGACTCCGAAAATGTTGAGAAAAGCTATTTGTAGAGCACTTTAATAAAGTAGTGATATGGTGTTACGAATCTTGTTTAGAGAACTAATAGTATTTAGTATTTTTAATCTAATAAATGTTTAATCTAAAGAAGTTCAAGAAGTTGAACAACTTTAAATAGGAAAACTCAACGCAAGTTTATTATTATATATATATAGGAAACATGACACAAGCTTTAATTAATATCTCAGTAAATCAACAATATAATCAACAATATTATATATATAATATTCTATAATAATAATGATTCTATATAGAACCTGAGAATTTCGCACATATTTGAATAACTAAATAAAAAGTAAGATAAAATCGAGATCATATGTGAGAGTAGTCTAGAGTAGTCTAGAGTAGATTCATATACCAGCTGCAGGGGTATAAACAATAAATTGGATTGATGATTGATCGATTGATTGACTGATTGATTATAATGCAATTGTGCTGTAAATTCGCTATGCGTGTGATTTTTGTTTTTTTTTTTGGTTTTGTAAGGATGGACTATATATTACTGTACCCATTGGCACAATCGATTGAACGTCTTACCTCTGACATATACAAGACATATCTATATATATGCATATATATATATAAACATGTAATTATGATTTATACACTATTTTTTTGTTTAGTTTTCTACTCCAAATTCGAAACTTGATAATATGAATTTGATGTTTGACCTTTGTTTGTTTTCATACATTTTTGCATACGACTTTTTCAATTTCTTTTCTACTAACACGCTCTAACCACAAAACACACAACAATAAAACAACAACAACAATTGCAACAACAATTATTATGCTTTTAACAAAAACAAAAACAAACAAACAACAATTTGTACAAATGAACATTGTAAAATCTCTCGCAACTTGTCTAAATCTGAATGTAGTTTTGTCAACACGCACCGGGACACCATGTAAGTTATAAATGTTATAAATGTACATAACAACTACTACTACTACTAACATATATCTATAACTAATTGCGCTAATCTAACTCTTATGAAATATAACTTATTCTTTCCACATTTTTCTCTTCTGTTCGTTCTGCATGCTCTGAGCTCAATTTGCATTGATTTGTATAGAAATCTTATTTAACCTCAATCTATATACACAACTTGACAAATCTTTATATATATATATTTATGCATTATCTTTTTGCTCGACTCGACTTCGTCTCAGGAATCCAAAGAAGCATGCAAGGTGCGTATAAATTGTTTGAATAACAGCTGCAGCAATTAACTTCTGTTTCGATCTTTTACATTTGACAGTCCTTCGAGAAGGTTCTCGTACAGAACATTCAATTTGGACTTTCGCCACCTTTGACCAAGGCCCTGGGCGCCATACCACGTTGGCGTCTGCTACAGGGCGCCCTGCCGCATGTCATGCACGCCTGCGCAGCTCTGCTTTACTGTAAGTTATAATACTCTACGCATGCAGTTTGGCCAGGGTATATTGGCCTAATATATTTGGTATTTGTTTGAAAGCTATTCTACAGAAGACGTGTTAATATATTTTTAATTTAAGTAAAGACTTTTTAAGCTTTGAATATGCAACTACGAGTAGCGAAGGCTGTGTAGCATTCAGTGCTCTACAGATTGATAGCTTATATAAAAGGGTATATAGCATGCTTCCATCAGCCACTTTTACTCATCTAATTGCATCACTATTAGACTTTAAAGCCTTCAAATCTCTTTTAAGCTCTTTCTGGAGCTGTTAATGAAAGCTATAGAGATTCAATTAAGATTGACTAAATATCGAATCAATTCTAAACATTTTCTTTAAATTCAATCTAAGCAATATTAACCAATTAAACAAAACAAAACAATTACAACTACAATTCATATTTCGCTTGGTAATTTTATTATTGCAAACAGCAAATTATGTAATATAGAATTATTTTTGTATATTCTCAACGACCCACTGGACGAATCAGCATTGTGGATATTTTATTAGATGTAATTTTGAGCCAGTGTAATCCTTCGATATCTTCAATATCACTCGAAAAGTATCTGCCATTAAGGTTGCTAGAAATAAAGAAAATTACTCATAGTATTGTAGCATTATAAAGTTGTATTAATGAGCTAGTTACCTTCCCAAATTCAAGCCTTTAAAGTACCAATAGCCGCCATGATATTTTGCCGAAAGCTTGCTGTGGCGACTCTCTCGATCGTAGGTCGAAAAGTCCACGTTCAGATGTGCGGTCATTCGGTCTTCAGTGCCTTGCCATCTGCCCAGACTTTTAATCCTATATTTTTCGCTCTCGGGACCTATATAAAAGTTATCGTAGCGCGCCCAGAAGCGTTCATTGTTGAAGCCCTGTACATAGATGTACAGCTCGTGGCGTTGATAGTTGGTCAAGCGATAGATATAGTCCAGTCCCAGGAAGAACTCTCCCTCCAGTTGCCCAAAACCATTTCGGTATTCAGACCAGTTCCTATAAAAATCTACTGAGCCGTCGTATCTGCGCTGTATGACAAGCCAGCCGGGTCCTGCTATCTGAGAATCGCATAAAACGCGAAAAGGTGCAGCTCCAGGCAAAGAAATTTTCCTGATGCCCGTATAAAAGCCCAGCGGAGCACAGCTCGTTGATGTTTCCTCCTCAATTACCGGGGCCGCAGTGGTCGAAATGCAAGCCGGTGAAGGAACTGGCAATGACAGTTGATTAAAGCACTGCTTATAACCATTTTCAACAGCGATGAAATTTTGATGTGTAAGGAAGACCAAGCTTCGTAAGCTCTCCACGTTCAGCTGCAGCTCCGTCAATTGATTCTGTAGAACCAAATAATTTGGATCCTTGTTGCTAACCGGCTTACACGGTTGATTCTTTAGAGACTCGATCGATTGTTCAAGTTCGGAAATTTCGTTGTTTTGCGGCTGCTGATTCAGAAGCATTTGCAGATCCATGACTTTCCTCTCCAGCTTCATCCTGATGTCCTGCTGTACCTGCCATTCATATTGCACCCGCCCTAAATTCTGGAATGCGTGTGAAATCATATAATAGTTTATTTCTCAGATTAGCTCACACTCTAATTACCACGCACTGAGCCCTGACGGCTGTCATAAATGTTGTCAAAATGGCAAAAATTAACAAGAAATTCATTTCACAAAAGTTCTCGAGAACTGTTCGCCTTTAAAGCTGAAAATGAACTGCAACTGAGAGAAGCCAATTTTCGTTGGATTTACGGTGCCTCTAATGACATTAGATAGAAATATCAAGGTGGAACTGAAACCGTATTGATTATTTATATCGTTTCAAATTAGTTAAAGTAGTTAGCTCTTAACTAGTTCACGGGGTTGATCATGTTTACTGTTGCCCATTGAAGAATCCTCTAACTGCCTAAAGGCGAAGCTCCTTAGCTTCTCTTTGACAATAATATTTAATGATCATTTTTAGGTCGCGTTAAGGACATGCAGGCAATTGGGCCCGTCGAGACGAAATTGCTATACACAATGCAATGGATATTACTTTATGCCGCCGAGGAGTGCGCCGACGATGAGGGCGGCGATGAGCTGGGCCTGGCCGATGCTGCGGAGCCCAAGGCCAAGGCTATGGATCAGTATCTGTTCTCAGTGCCCACGATTACAGTAAGATCTAAGCTATATATAGTAATATATATACAGATCTAACTTGATCATAATTTGCAGCTTTTTGTGTATCTGTTTGCGCCCATCATACATCATTTGAAGGAATCGGATTTTCAAAACATTCGCCTGGAGAATGGCATTAAGCTGTGGCAGGGCATGTGGGACAATCGGGCACCGGGTGCTCCTTGCTTTACGGCGCCCGTCAAGCCGAAGGCACGCAATTTGTTGTGCGCCCCCACGCCGAAGGGCTCGACGGATGTGTTTCAGGGTCGCAAGCACTCGCTGGGACCTGACGCCATGTCGCCCAAGGCAGACTCGCCACAGAGCGGCCTTAGCGACTATGGCCAACAGGATGAGGAGGTAGAATTAGAGACAGCATTATATTCGAGTTAACTTAACATTATTTTACCTAGGGCTCGTGGGTGTCCTCGCCCAAGGAGTTCTTTCCCGAGACCATACCCGAAGAAGCATCGAGTGTAGAGGACGAGCGCGTGGTCATCTTTCGCTTGCCCTCTGCACCGCAGCTCATGGACAACTCCTTCTTCACGGTGAGAAACTTAATTGATATAACTTCAACTTCTTAAGCTCTTTTGATTCTTAGGCTGATGCCAGCTTGCTGCAGCAGCAACAGCAGCAACAGCAGCAGCAGCAGCAGCAATCGCAGAGTCGTCGTGGCAGCCACCAGTCGATGAACTCTAGGGACAAGGAGAAGCCTTCAACCAAATTTGAGTTCGATCAGCAAGAACTGACGCGTGGCGCCTCCATGAAGGAGAAACGTAGCGCCTCGATTGAAAAAGAATCGGATACGGATAAGTCGGAGGGCAGCAAAGTGGATGTCTCGGCAGCGACCTTCTTGGATGTGGCCGTGCTGCGCTGTCTATTCATCTCACATTGGCAGGAGGAGGGCATCTTCTGGAGCTTGCAGTACCTGTACAACAGGTGAGTGGCAGCTGATCAGCTTGTCATATTGAGACTAAGCTTTCTTCCCTTGGCAGACTCAGTGAAATCGGCGAGGAGGCATCCATCACCTTGAATCAGCCGCGTAAGCGTTCCAACTCACTGCCCATACCACAAATCGAGATCTCACTGTACCAGGGACCGGGCAGCAACAGTCGCGACAGTCCAGGCAGCTCGGTAGTCAAGGATTACATTGAAATACCAGAGCCAGCTGCCACAGTGACGGCCAGTGCAGTGGGTAAGCTGACCATGAGGCATAGCTAGAATCCAAAGTGCTCTAAGCGTAACCCAATCTTTCAGAAGAAACCCCGAGCATGCCCAGCAGCTCGGAGCGACGGGGCAGCGAGAAGAAGAAGCGCGTCAAAATGGCCGATCTGAGGGCATTTGTCGAAACGAAAATGTTCTCGAAATCGGAAAAGAACTTGGAAAAAGTAGGGCTCGATACAAACTCTGCCAATGGCAAGAATCCACTGCAACATGCAGTAAGCCGAAAGCTAAAAGCTAACTAATTTTATAGCAATACCCCCACCATCCTCAACTAGCACACCTGCTTAGATTTCTAGTTAACTCCCACGTGTTAGCGAAAGCTGTGTTTTTTCCGTGCTGTTACCAAAGTTAACTCTGTTAGCGCATCTACTAAGTCGACTCAATTAATAACTGATTTTAATACTTCTCTATTCAGGAATATCATCGCAGCCTGGACACTGGCGAGAAGAAACTGTCACGTTCCGCCTCAATGATCACTCGAGAGCCAGCTAGCAATCTAATCAAGGGCAAGTCCATGCCCAGCTTAAGGTAAGCCTATTGGCCAGGTCACCACCATGAACTCTACCAAACTCAATTAGGCCCAGACACACAGCTAAAAATTCAACTCTATTGTTAATAACTTCATTTATGTTAACTGTATGTATAAATGATATCAACCTTACTATCTTTTATGAACTGAACAACCAGCTGTCTGCTTGATAGCGGGTGAGTTTTGGTCTACAGCTTGGTTCTATATCTATTAACCTACTTTCAACTGTGTCTATATCCATATACTACATCTTTATACTAGACAATCTTTACCTCTTTCCCTTTGGCTAATGCCTTTTCACCTACATGTTTGCCTGAACACCTGAAACTCCCCACAAACTTTGCTCTGTTATCTATAGCCAGCCTCCTGCTTGCTAAATTAAGGCTTATTGCTCAAGGCTCATTGTAAATTTAGTTACTCATCTTTTGGCTGAAAATCCGCTAATTCGGAATTGCTTACTTTGTGCTCATGACAAAGTGCATGTTAAATTTACCATGAGCCTTTTATCCGTCCGCTTTTACGCCTACTTTTTTGCACGCCGTTTGTTTTCACTAATGCCATGCACCTACGACTCTCGCATATGCTCTATAATATGCCAGATTTTACAGATACGTAGAGCCGCCAAAGGCCGCCAGGCCGCCACAGACGACTTGTCCACGTGGCACAGCCTTCTATCCGCGTAATCCCATTATTACAGTCACTGAGCATACGCCCACGCCCTCGCCGGACTATATGAAGCGACAGGTAAATCGGATATTTATATATTTATATAGTTGATTAATCGACTTTACTTTAAGCAGGGCTCCATTGACTCGCAATTGGATGCTCTAAGCAATGGCGGCAGCATCGTTGGAGCTGGTGGCAATGGCAGCGCCGGTGGTGGCAGCAGCACCGCACGCTATCGTGGACCCATGCTGCGCTCTCACACGGACTCCCACATAGATTACACGGGTGTGGACGAGTCCGAGGCACCGGGCTCCTCCTTCTATATCACACGCGACGGCGGCATCGACTACGAAATCGTGCTGCTGGCTGTGAGCAGCGTATTCAAGCGAGATCCCTCGCAAGTCTGCTCGCTGCGCGTGCTAGAGGCGGGCCTGAACATTTGCGAGCTGCTCATCGAGATGGGCGTCTTGAAGCTGGGCGAGCATCCACACGAGATATCGATGGGCATAACACGGCGTGCACTGCAGGTGCTCGGCTGTCCACATGGCTGCAATGATGGTGAGTGGCTGGGATGAAGTGGAGAATGAGACAGAATGAGACTGAAACACTTGCAGGTGTTCGAGGTCCGCCCGCTGACTTTTTGCGCAATCAGTGCCAGAAGATAATATCGCGCATGCTGCGCCAAGCCGGACAGCGCACCAAGCGTCATCTGCAGGAGATGGTCAAGACATCGCCGTTGCCGGAGCTCATAGACTATTTCCATGCATTTCTCGCCTTCTGCGTGGATCCCAGCTCCCTGCTGTCCCCGCTGAGTAAGTCGGGTCTACCCCATCCAGCTATGCCTAGTTACTAACTCAGCTTTGGCCTTGGATTCAATTGATTGATGTCGCACCAAATTCCCGATTGCAAATGTTTTCTTTTTATTTTTCAACCCAAAATTGTTGCTACTTTACTCGGCATACTCGTTCGTATAGCAAAATGGGGCATATTGGTGCATATTTGTCTGCTATCTCGATACATACCTAAACGAGGCGTACTTAGTATACGATTATATGTAGCTAAGCGCTGAGGAGACATGTCCAGTGGCAGATAAACTCTACGTTTTACAGGGTATATTGGCAGATGAAGGGTCTGTTATGATCTATGATCTTGATATGTTCTATATATATTCAAGCTATGCTTGCTTTATATGTTATATGCAGGTCCAATAACATCATCAATTATTCTATTCTATGGACGAGTATTGCGCAGTCGGTTGCATCCGACTGCAATGTTTATATTTTATTATTTGTGGAACTCTGTAACTCTCTCTCTATCTATATATGTCTAACTATCTATTGCTCTGTGTGTGGTTTGTGCATGCAACAATTTTTGCTAATGCTTTTGAGTTGTAAACCTCCCTCCCGCCCCATTTGTTGCCTCTGACCTCCTCCAATATACTCGTACGTTGTATATATATGTATGTATGTATGTATATATGATGATGATGCATATAGCTCATAAACGTCAGAGTGGGTATAAAAATGTTAACACCGATCTTGGCGGTGTACCAGGTCAGGGCGGCTATTCCAGCAATTTTAGCGGCGGCATCAGCGGCGGAGCCGAGGGCCAAGTGGTTGGCGCCATATTCAAACAGCTCGTCAGTCGATTTGTGGAGGCCAGCAAGGACCTCAAGCTGCCGGAGAACGTGGCACTCTATGGCGATATTCGACAGCTGGTGACGTATGTGAAGGGCGCACATGGCGGACCCTTTCGTCTGGTTGCACTCAGCGGCATATTGGCTGTGACGCCGCGACCACACAAGAAGGGGCCGACGCCGCAGACGACACGGGTCATCAGGTAAAGCCACCCACAGCTCTGTGAAATCAGTGTAACTTTGACTTTGTCTTCGACCTTGGCAGACATATACCCCAAGCGAATACCATGCAGGTGGTGGTGCAAAGTGATGACAATCGTTCGCAGCGTCGATTGCTGCTGAAGAAACGCAGCACCTCCTCTGCCTGCGCCGTGGTGAGTCTTCAATGCTAGCCCACAACATTAGGCTGAGCCGTTTTGGTCTTCCCTTTGCAGAGCCTGCTGGAGACGGAGCCGTGCGATGAGCACTACAAGACCAGTCAGTCGCCATTGAGTAACTTTCGACGTCGCACCACTGGCGTGCGACCCACTCTGACGCCGCGGCACAGTGAACGGGCGCTGCTCTCCGATTCGACGTCCAGCTCGGAACGCAATTCGCTGGGACGGCTCAGCGGCTTGGTGCGCTGGTTTCGCGGCACGCCCAAAGAGGCATCATCGATTGATCTGGAAATTGGTTCGCTAAATCCAGAGATAACATCGACATTCATGCGACACGCCTCGCTCAAGATCCAACGAGGTCGTTCGAGCGATGGCATCGGTCGCTCCATACAGCGTGCCAAGCGACGCGTTGAGCGACGTCTGAACCGTTTCGGCGGCATTGTGAAGGGCAAGAAGAAGGTGGGCGGCATCGAAGAGACAGCGGACTACAGTCGACGCAGCTCCTCCGACATGTGCGATGGACCACGCGAATCCGAAGTGGTCATACTCAAGGAACGCAAGCTGGTGCCCACCGAACCGGTTCGTGTGGGCATGCTTCGGCTATCCTTTCTGCTGGAGACCTGTGCACCGGGCTGCTTCCCTGATCCTCAGCTGATTGCAGCCGTCTTGGATTTGGTAGGCACACACTCTAAGTCCCACTAATCCCGCCTCAACTCAAGCTCTGCTCTGTTACAGCCCCAAGCACCACTGGTGACGCGTGCCACATTTTTGCTGGAGTGCGCGCACTTTGTGCATCTGTGCAACAAGGGCCAGTGGCCCATTTGGATGAAACAGAACGTGGGCGGCTATCGCGCTTCCGGTGCCAATATCAATCCCGCCCAGATGAAGCAGCAAGTCAGCCAAACCAGCGCTCGGCGCACACATATTCTGCTGCGCGCCGCTGGTAAAATGTTTCATCAATGGGCCGAGATGGTGGGCGCACGACTCGAGGAGTTGCTCTTCACCGAACGTTTGCAGTTCGAAGCGCTGAATGCCAGTCTCACCGATCCGGAGAAGCAGCGGGAGCTGCTGCAGCAGGATGAGGAGGAAGATTTCCTGGACGAGTCCTCAGTGAATCCACATGGCAATGATTGCCCTCACGCCCTCAAGCTAATTGCCTGTGTGCTGCTCTTCGAGATTACGGCCTTTCTGCGAGACACTTACATCACGTTGCCAAAGACTTCAAAGATGCTGCATCGCGACCGACCCGCACCCTGGGAGAAGGTGTACCGTGAGGCCAATCGACGCTGGTCCATGGCACTCAGCTCCATGGGCCACTCGCAGACCTCAGCCCAGAGCCTACAATCCATAGCAGCGGGCAACGACGGCGCTGGCCAAACTGAGCGCAAAATCTCTTTTGTGCTTCACGAACCGGACAACGAGTCGGAGAACAGCAGCAACACGACATTAACAAAGGAGGGCGAGGAAGGTGCGCGTAGAACTGTTATCGATAACTGAGGGATCGATTAAGATTCGTTCAGATGATATACGAACTATAGGCGTTACCTAATCACTTCTTTCATTATCAGCTCGACGTCCCACTGCCTCGGCTGTTCGTCCATTCCTGCTGCGCCGTGGCACAGCAACCACAACGGGAGGCTCCTTTAAACGACGTTCGCTCAAGCTACGTCGCAATACCAAGGACAGCAAAGAGATCGAAACAGACTGTGAGTGTTTCGACTGTGATCAGAAAACTTTCTCTTCATTATGTTCTTTTTACCAGTTAACATGCAATCGAGACGCAAAGTGTCCTCGCTCTCGGATCGCAGCGATACCTCCGAGCAGGGCGTCATTAGTGGCGGCGAGGAGTCCCCGGGCATACTCAGCGACGACCAGCAGCCAGAATCGCCGACGGACTCCAATGAAAATGACGACACTGCCAAGAATATGCCCTGGCTGAAGGCCGTCATCGATTTGCTTACCAGCTACAATTACTACTGCACCCATAAGGGCTACTGTCATCCCTTCTGCTACAAGCGTCACATGCGCTCCTGCACGAGGCTCATAAAGGCTACCCGAAAGGTAGGCGCCTTATCAATGCTCTCAAATCTCGTTCCACACTCAAATTCGCATTTTGCTTTGTCAGGTTTATGGCGAAGAATTTGGTTTTACTTTTGACGCGGATCATCCCACTGTGGAGCCCACAGTCATAAGCTCGTCAAAGCCCTCGGCACGACCACGTTCAACGCGCAAAGTATCGGAGCAGAGCTCGACACAAACATCTCCATCCAAGCGCAAGGATAGCCTGTCCCGCAAGGATCGGTAAGTTGCTTAGCTATTGAAGAAACATTTTTAAGACGAAGCTTAAATAGCATTAGCGATGATCCGGACATTGAGATGGCCGAGAAGCTGGCGCGTAGCTTTCGGCAGGAGAAGGAAAAGAAGCTGCAGGAGGAGCTGCCCATCTTGAAGTTCATACGCATCCACATACGCAATCTGTTTCACTTTCCACTGACCACCATGCTAAAGGGCGCAGTGGTGCTCAGCGAGGAGCTCGTCATCGAGGCCATGCCCGCTGCCTGGGAGCTGCTGCTGGAAACGAATCATGATACGGCCACCTCGAGTGCAGCCGTCTTCCTCATGGGCTCGGTGAAGGCGCAAAATTTCGCCTTTGACATTATGCAGCGAGCGCTGAAGCACAAGAATCCGGATATACGTATTGGAGCGATTCAGCGCTACTTGGTGCTGTGGAAGTGTCGCTTCCACGTCTGGCCACGCATGGAGGAGAATGCACACGATGCTACGTTTAAGGTGCCACCGGGTGGCATTGAGTTCACATTGCCCTCGCCCAAAATTGGCATCGAGAGTTTGCCCGTTGTGGACCCGCCCTGGATGCCAGTGCAGCAAACCAAAGACATGGACATGACCCTAAACCAGGACAGACATGTAAGTGGATGTCAGATGTAATCCTTCCAGTGACAATGCCTACTTAACTGAATCCTTTAGCGCTCCCTGGTCACCGCCACCAAGAGCCGCAAGATGCAGCAAACGGAGGCTATTCGGAATGCTCTGCGTCAGCAGCGCGACAAGCAGCGCGCGGAACGGCATAGTTTTCTCATCACCATGATACCCATTAGCCAGCAGGCTTCTCATGAGCCGGGCATGGAGCATGAGGATCATGAAATCGAAGAGGATTTGGATGGCACACGCGCCTCCTCGCATCTGCATCATGCCCACTCGCTCTTCCCATCGGTGCTATGCTCCTCGGTAATGCAGATTGTGGGTTGCCTGGACGATGCAGCCATTGGATCTGACGGCAATGCTGTCTATGAGGTGGCCTACCAGGTTATCTGGGTGTGCCTGGTCGAAGAGTCCGCCCTATTCTTGCGCTATGTATTCGAACGTTTGACTCGAGACCGACAGGATCAGATGTTCAAGCTATTGCGACATTTGATACGTTTTGTGCCTCGCCTGCCGCAACAAGCTGCCTTTGCTCTGTACAACTCCATCATTGGCTACATCATGTTCTATGTGCGCTCCTCCAATGAGCTCAAGCAGGAGGTAGACTGAAGCTAAAGTGAATGGTGTATATATATACATCTAATTCCTTGTCTTTGCAGCTGGTGGGTTCGGCTTTATCGGTTTTATGGATGGTGGTGCACTCGGTGCATGGCATCATGTTCAAGGATCTAAAGCAAATATTGCGCAAGGAGCAGTGCGATGCCTCGATTCTGCTTACCGCGAATGTGCCCGCTGCCAAAAAGATTGTGGTGCATGGGCCGGCAGATGACGACTACAATATACCCTCACAGTTTCCCGTCCAGGAGGATACGCTCTTCTGCCAGCTGCTGAAGGAGGCCTTAGACTATTATCCCATTGATGAAAAGAGCATTACGCACTATTGTCTGGTGGACTACAAGAGCAGTAAGTAGACTACCCAACTGAGAATTTCCAGAAGACTTTAGCCTAATCTTTCTCCTCTTTCAGACAAAATACTCAATCCAAATTGGTATATACGAGACTTGTACTTCTTCAAGCGCTCGCAGTATCCGGAGGTGCGTCTGACGCTGATGCGTCCGGAGGAATCCTTTCTTGCGCTACAGAAACAGGAGTTGACAAAGAAATTTGTTGAAATTGGCAAAGTCCATTTGACTTGGGCCATATTGAAAAACGTGGACATGGTTGTGCAGCGTGTTGTGTTTTTGCACGAGGAGCTCATGAAGCTGCCATCGTTTCCGCGCAAAGCGCTCGAAGTGGACCTCGACCTGCATCATGGTGGGGAATATGGCAAGGTGCTGCTCGGCTTGGATGTGCTGCATAAGTTCATGTGGGTGCGTCTGATCGCACGCATGTTCGAGGCCATGGCCGGAAATTTCGCCTACTCGGCAGACATTCAACTCTTCCTGAATGTGCTGTCCGGCGCCTCCATATTGCATGCGGAGGATTCATGCATAATGCGCTATGTGATGGCCACTTTCATCAATGCGGCTTTCAATTTCAAGAATATCTTCTCGACGAATGGCTATTTTATGATCATGCCCACACTACTGCAGGTGTATTCGCTCCATCAGACCAACAAGCTAATCACTACGACTATCGAATACGCCGTGAAGCAGTTCTATCTGCTGAATCGCAAGCCCTTTATACTCCAAATGTTTGGCTCTGTTTCGGCCATACTGGACACGGATGAGGATGGCACCTATGGCGAGGCGCATAAGGTGCAATCCAGTTGCCTCTTCAATTTGCTGCTCAGCCTCGAAGATCCCTCACCAGATCCGCTCAACATAGCCGAACTGGTCAAAGAGCCAAAGCCATTAAAGGCCATTGATTTCTGCTATCACGACGAGGACGACGATGTAACTGTACTCGACTGCATCACTTTATGTGTAATGGTTGTCTCCTATTCAGCGGAAAGCACGCGAGGCTATCAAATGCTGGTAAGCATGACCCACAAAATCATATTTTCCTTAACGTCTTTCAGCCATCTCTTTGTGGAGCTAAACCAAAAGATAAGCATATCTTGTCCATATTAAGCAACTATAATCACCACCTATAAACTAGTCAGTCACCCTCTATTAGACCACTTCTATAGCTAAAGATCACTTGTAGCTAGTAGCTGATCTCCTTGTCAGACAGTCTTGATTAAATCCAATTTGATGCATTCCCAACAGATTATCCTGGAAGCTATTCTACCCTGTTATCTGCAGCAGATCCAATCGCCCAGCTACATTCCATTGCAGGGAAAATCCGAGAGAGATATCATACTCCAATTGGCTGTGGCCATACGCACCATGGTGCACAATTGCGAGGGCTTGGCCAAGAGCTACAATGGGCCCTATCGCAACAGTCCGGAGCACAAAGGTTCGTCGCAGCGCAATTGCAGTCGCGGCCCACCCTGCTCACCCGGCATGGACTTTGAGGAAGAGTCGCACACGAAGTATGCCACAGATCCACGCACCAAGAACATGATGGACTCTGCCGAAGACTCGGAGATGATACGCACTGAATACCGACGTCCTAGAGACGTCCTACTCTCCGTTGTTGCCGATTTCCTAACCAAGTCGACGACACGTCTCTTCGAGCTGGCCAAGAAGTTGCCGGCAAATGACAGCAAGCCCACTGAGGTGCTGGATGCCAAGTGTCATATTCGTTTGGCAGACATTGCCCACTCACTGCTTAAGGTCTCACCCTACGATCCCGAGTCCATGGCCTGTCGTGGATTACAGCGCTATATGCAATCGGTGCTGCCACGGGCCGAATGGTCAAATGATACGCTGCGTAATGCTCTAGTAACAGTGCTGCGTCGCATCGACAAGGTGTTCCTTAAGATATCCAAGAAGCCATCCATACGCCGCAATACGGATTGGGAGGCAGCCGCCGGACTGCTCAAGGGCATACATGAGACAATTATACGACATCCGTATGTGCTTCACTGGCAGCAGATGAAGACCCTCATATCTACCGTTCAGAATCTGATTGTGAATGAGCCGGGCAGCGGTGGCATACCGGAGGGCGTGTCCAGTGCAGGTGCAGCGCTCATGTCTCAGAATCCACCGGCCTTTTTCTGCTCGACTGTGGTGCGTTTGGTGGCCCTACAAGTGGTTAGCCCCGTTGACTGTTTCTCGCTTGTGCAAATTTGCGGCGGCAGCGCCGAATTCGCCACGCAGGAAAAGGCCGAAGGATTTCTAATGCATCTGATAATGCCACTGTGCTTGAAGGTCTGCTCCGGACGCGGCGTCTCCGATGTGGGCGAGCTGAAGATGAGCGACGTCTCATTTCTGCTAACCGCCGTGCTAAATGCCATGAGTCCGCCCGCTGGCCGCACCGGCCAAGCCGTTTCACAGATCAATCGAGTTACGGGAGATTTACGTGCGGGCTCCCTAACCTTTACGGGCAGCCGAGATGCCAAACGTCCGGCTCGCATCTCGGGCTCACTATATCAAGCGGCTTTCCTTGCATTGCGCATTGTGTGCATTTGCTTTGAGAATCGTTTGTCTAGCGAATGGCCGCGTATAGTGCGCGTCATGCGAGACCTGGGCAGGCGCAACGAAGCAGCTCCAGATCTATGGAGCTTTATGGAATTTGTTGTCACGCATCGCACGCCGCTCTACATTGTCCTCTTACCCTTCATCCTGCACAAGGTACGGACAGCTGCTTGTTCTGTTTTCAGTTGACTGATTGATCAATGCCTTTCAGATCTCCCAGCCACCCATTGGTGACCACGAGCGGCACATGCAGTTCATCATTAGGGAGCGCCTACGCGGCACCCCACCTCAGGGTGGACTTAAGTCGAAGGGCGCGCTGCTGCTCGAGTTGGCACGCGAGCTGCGCGATCTACGGGATGAGCTGGAAGACAAGCGTTATGGTAAACTTGCCCCCAACTAAAGCTCTTCCATTCATTAATCAATGTTTTCATTGCGACAGTCTCTACAGATCGCGAGAGCTCCGAGCAGAAGAAAAGTGATGCAGCGGCAGCTACCAGCGCTGCAGATGCCCACAAGTCACAGCAGCGACCATCGCTAATATCCATATTCACGGGCACCACCACCGGCCAGGCGACCCACTCGCATGTCTCTGCTGTGCCCATTGATTCGCGCAGTGGCTCTGGCGGTATATGCACGCCCAGTGATACGCTCTCCCAGCAAACGCTGCATCCACCACGTGAATCTCTGTCTAGCAGCTCCACAGGTCGCGATCCACATACTACAACTAGTGAGAGTCAGAGCGGTGAAGGCGCTGCTGGCTCTGCGCCCACTCTAGTGGGTCAGCCAGTGGGCAGCGGACCGAGTGGCAGCTCGGCCCTGCCACCTGGCATTGCTTCTCAGCTATCGCACTCGCAGTCACTGCAACAGGCGCCCTTTAAGGTGCAGCCACCCAAATTACGATTTGTTTCATCCGTGGAATTTCGACACTCCTCTGGGGAGACCTCAACGACGCCTTTGTCACCAGAAAGCCCAGCAGAGGATAGTTCTGGCGATCATACACGTTCGCGCCTGCAACGTTCCAAGGCGGCCAGTCGCAAAACTTTCCGACTAAAGCGCAGTCGCCTAACTCCAATGGAACCGCCCAGCATCGTAAGCAATAGAAATATTTCTCTCGCTCTGCAGAAAATAATCCTTGTCTCCGATAGGTCACCTCACTCTCTCAAGAGCAGGAGCAGCAGACGAAAGCCATTGGCGAAATATCGTGGGACTCGGTCTCACAAACATCATCCACATCGGGTTATCGGGATAACAATAGTCTGCAGACCGGTCTGCTTTCGCCGGACGGCTCTCTGGGCGGGCTGACCTTAGGTCGTTCGCCTTCGCAGCACTCCCTACTGATGGTATTCGAAGGTCAGGACGAGGACACACTTATTTAACAATCACAGAACGGCGACCGAGCCTACGAGCTTTAGGGACAGCCTCAATACAAAAACTTAATTTTACTTAGCTAGCCTTAACATATTTAATACATACTAAATTAGCTGACAAATTAACAAAGTTCTTTGTTAAGTTTTTTAGATACATATACTTAAGATTAGTTGTTGTTCCATTGTGTGCCGAGATTTTATATGTTTTTGTAGTTCAATTAGGAATTGAATAAATTAAATTGGTAGCCGTTCGAAACCATTTGAACTTTTCTTTTAGGAAGTACTATATTGAAAATGACTTAAAATTAAGAGCGCAATTATGATAATCGAGTTAGTATAGAAGAATGAATAATGAATTCTTTTTAACATTATAAAAATTTCAATTGAAGATATAGCTTCGAAGATAATTGAATCTACAGCCGACTAACTATCGATACTTTTGGCTGCTGTGGCGGCCTTTTGGCGATTCTCTTTGACTAACTTACGCCACTCCATCCATTTGGCCAACTCGGGCTGTTCACTGATGTTACTACTGTTGTTGCTTTGCTGCTCCAGCTGCATGTAGTAGGCTTCGCGTAATATCTTAAACGCCTGAATGCTATAGTATGGCTGTTGAGTGACGGGATCAAAGTACCGTGCCGGCAATCGAGTAATTGGGCAAATGCCACTTGAGTGCTTTGGTGCTCGTTTCGGACGAAAAATCGCATTGAAAGCCTTATCATTGAAATCATTTTCGAAGGTTACAAACGTGCGCTCGCACCGGCCAGTCGAATCATTCGGTTGGGCTGCGCGTGTGGGCATGTTACGAATGACGGGCATGGTCAATGAATGATAGCGAATGGTTGGTCCAATGAAAACTCTCTTAGTGGGCCGAGTCTTCTTCTTTTCGAGTTCCATTTTTTGGAATTTCTCTGAAAACATATAGAAGTACAGTTAGAGCGGTATGCAATTAGCATTGATTTGTTAACAAACCCAAAGATTTAATATTCTCCTCCTCTGTTAGCTTCGCCTCCGCGAGTAATTCTTCCTGAGTGGGCATATAGTCCTCTACGCGCACCTTCTTCTTTTTACGCTTGCGTGCATCGTCTAGTTCTTTAAGTCGTATCTTTGTCGCCTGAGTTTTAATGGCCGTGGATGTACGTATGGACTTCCGCCCGGAGTCTAGGACGGTAAAACGCGGACGCACTCTACGTTTGACCACGCCGCCAGCTCCACGTTTTTTGTGTAGAGTGGTGCCAGCTTTAGTTTCCTTCTTGACAAGCGGCTTTGCTGGCTCCTAATTAAGAAATTAATATTATATGTAAATATATATTATATTTGTACTTGCTTTATAGGCTTTTGTGTTGACTCCTCCGCGTTTACGTTTCTTGTCAGGCGCCTCCTCTTGATCGGATACGGGCTCATCCTGTTCGTCTATGCTGAAATCTGAATCCACAACATCCTCTTCCTCGTCTTTTTGACTTTAACCATGAAATATTTTTAAATTTATTTTTGAGTAATCCAATATTAAAGTACTTACACATATTCCTTGTCGTCTTCTTCGTCCTGAAAGCCACCATATGACGTTTTGTAGAATTCATCCTCCTCCTCGTCGAGCAACTTAGCTATTTTATTGCCCGCATTTTGACGACGCGAGCGCTCGGCAGCCATTTGTTAATAATAAATTTAATTATTTTACTTTACTCAAACTTTTTAATTGTAAACAACACATTTGATGCGTTTCTGCTTCTTACTAGCAGTATTCACTGCGTGAATGTCACTCGCTGCCACTCGAATGCCATTCACACAAAACGGCGATATGGCAACGCGATCAACATTTTTCTACTAAATTTAAATACAATATAAATACAAATCAAATATTTATTGATGATTGAATATCATTCATATGTTGCGTATTGTCTGAAATATTAAATAAACAGTATATGAATCTATATGTTGCATTATCACGAATATTTCTTCAATGAAAGCGCATTCAAAGTTGCCATATGCCGAACCTTTTGACTCTACTCTCTATGACGTCTCGTCGATCTTATTGCACTTTGGACTTTCTCTTGTATGTTGATTGGCCGCGATTTAAACAGTTTTTAATTCAGATTGTTCAGACTCTTTATAGCGAGCGGTTTAAACTTTGGACCACACAATGATTAATACTGGAAAATTGGCAGGACGCACTTTGTTCATCACTGGCGCATCCAGGGGCATTGGCAAGGCAATTGCATTAAAGGCAGCTCGCGATGGTGCCAATATTGTGGTAGCTGCTAAGACAGCAGAGCCGCATCCCAAGTTGCCAGGCACAATTTATACAGCCGCCGATGAGATCGAAAAGGCTGGCGGACGAGCGCATCCCTGTATTGTAGATGTGCGCGATGAGCAACAGGTGCGCACCGCCATCCAGGAAGCGGTGGCCAAATTCGGTGGCATCGATATCGTCGTGAACAATGCCAGTGCCATTTCATTGACCAACACACCTGACACGGATATGAAACGCTATGATCTGATGCACAGCATAAACACGCGTGGCACATTCCTAGTTTCTAAAGAGTGTCTGCCCTACCTACAGAAGAGCAATCATGCTCATATCTTAAACATCTCGCCACCGCTTAGCATGAAGGCAAAATGGTTTGGGCCGCATGTCGCCTACACAATGGCCAAGTACGGCATGTCCATGTGTGTGTTGGGCATGGCGGCAGAGTTTCAAGATCGCGGCATAGCCGTAAATGCACTTTGGCCTCGTACGGCCATCCACACGGCTGCCATCGAGATGCTAACTGGTCCCGATAGCGCCAGTTGGTCCCGCAAGCCAGACATTATGGCTGATGCGGCATATGCTATACTGTGCCGGGAACCCAAACAGTTCAGCGGCGAGTTCTTCATTGACGATGAGGTGCTCGAATCTGTAGGTATCAAGGATTTAACGGACTATGCATGTGTTCGTGAAAATGCCGATAGCCTGATGGTCGACTTTTTCGTGGAGGCTAAGGATGCGTCCCCAGCTTCAGCTACTACTTCTGAATCTGGCACTGGCGATGATAAAATACCACAACTTTTTAAGAAAATTGAATCTCTGCTATCTGCTGAGATCGTCAGCAAGACGCAGGCCGTCTACCAGTTCAATATCAGTGGCGATAAGCAGGGCACCTGGTTTCTGGACCTGAAAAACGGTTCGGGTGCCTGTGGCACTGGCGCCCCGCCAGCTGCTCCAGACGCAACACTATCCATGAACTCGAGTAACTTCTTTGACATGTTCTCGGGCAAATTGAAAGCGGCACCAGCCTACATGTCCGGAAAGCTAAAAATTAGCGGCGATTTTCAGAAGGCTCTCAAATTAGAGAAACTGATGAAGGCGCTCAAGTCCAAGTTATAGATCATAAGCTTCAATTTATAAATAAAGACTTCAACACATTTACAACTAGTCCTCGTCTGGATTTGTATTTCTAAATTTGATGTACTTGCGCACAAGTTCAAGTTCAAGTATCGATTGTTACTTTTTATAAATTATTATTTACAAATGATAGCTTGCAAAAAATATGCATTTGTATTGAGTGATTTCACTTGATTTGAGCAGAGCGCACTACCGATAACCATCGATCTAACAGAAATTCAAAAGTTCTGCGTGAATAAAATCAGTATGTTGCCTAAGCACAATGAATTCCTAGACAGTATTACTGTTGACAAAATATTAAAAAAAAAATTGAAAATATTATTTCGCAGAGTACCACTGTAATAAGTATCAATAAGTATCTATTAGAGTACTCGAATGCAATCGATAGCACACAGCTATACCATCCCTATTTTAACACCGGACATATGAATTCATCATACTTTTTGGTTCGACTTACCGTCCTTACTTTTTATAGCTGGCCGGCCAGTAGCTGGTAGGAGTCAATGGGGCTGCATAACATAGTTTAATATTTATATAGATAGATATATTTATATATAAATATATATTACACATATTTGTCATGGCTTCGTCATCATATAAGGTATGTTCCATTGGCGCGCTGCTATAGTAAACAAATTCAATATTAATTCAATATTCGTAGAGAAAAACGGTGCAGCTGATCAAATGCTTTTGCGGCTGCACAGACATGAGCGTTGAAGAAGTGCGTCGCATTTACACGCTCACAAATAGTACACATCACACGCTACTAGATCCGCCTGCTGCGAAGCTACTACGCCGCTATCTAGAGACGCAACGAGCGGGCGACAAAGGCGAAACGGAACAGTACCTGGATCTCTATGAGAAGTGCGCCGAATTCCTGATGGAGGAGCAGCGCATACTCACATTAGATCATATCAACGAATTGCTCGATCTGGGCTTATCCAATCGTCTCGAATGCGATCTGAAGCGGCGGATGCTCAGCGGACAGGATTCCGACATAAAAAGCGGTCTTAATTGTATTCAAGGCGAATGTTGCAAAGAAATTGAATCGAGCAGCGACTTCAAGGACTTTCGAAACGCAATTTTGGCAAAAATGCAAAGAATACCCAAGTAGTCGATGTGCATTGCTCGCTGACCAATGCCAAACCACAGGTGCTGCCTTATGCCTTAATAATATTAATTGTAAGCAAATTGAAATGTTTATATAAACCGCACTCTGCCTCAGCCTCAGCCCCAATTAGAGCCCAGCGAATTCTTTGTCCACCAAAACACATTAGTCACATTCATTAGCAACAAATCCGTGAGACGGTTTGCTATCATAGCATAATTAAATATTATCTGATTTTTAAGCGTTCCTCACCAATGTATTCTTACAGTTATGTTTAGTTACGTAAATTCCTTTGAATGTACATTTACACGTTCCCAAATATACGAAAAGAATAATTCGCTTGTTTTTAATAATAACTATCTAATCTAATATGTATATATGTATATTCTAGCACTGAAATAATTGTTATCCGTTACTAATCATTCCTCCTGCGTTTTCACAAAATACATTTAAAAGTCATTGATATATTATCGTATGAATCAGCTGCCAATCGGCCGACGTACTTCTCTCTCCATCCTCATCTAATCAGTTTTCGACAATACTCTATCACGCTCATATAAGAGTGTAACTTAGTAATGATAAAGGGAACATGGAAATAGACAGTTCGAGAGTCTTCATAATCGTTTTTAGATGATATATATATATATATATATATATATATATATATCACTATATTTTGGATATCGTTTACTGCTCTAGCTTAAAATCAAGTTAAGGAATAAAGATTTTACTTTGTTTTCACATACACCTAGAATTTTCTGTTGTACTTCTATACATATATATTCTTGTTAAGCACATAAAAGATTAAACTAAACATATATATATTTATATATAGGAGAATATATATATATATATATTTATATTTGAATGCTTAATAACTAAAATGCTTTGAACTAGGCAAGGTAACGCTTTAGGTCTTCTTCCACGAGTAATACATTTCCATGGGTTTGTTAACCTGCCAAATTGAAATGAAATTAGGATTAGTTTATGGTTTAGTTTATCGGTTTAGTTTATGGAACTTACCTTCCAGAATTTGTCATTGACCTGATGCAGCGTCTGGTTGCCATTCAAGATGACCAACTGCTGCGGTTGTGGTGCCACATAGATGCAAAAGTTGAGCAGACGACAAGCTTCTGGCAGATCGGCGCCCAGGTCGAGTGTCAGACGTATTGCAAGATACTTGCTGAGATGATCGACAGTGGCGTTCGCTGTCGTCTTGATGTACCGTATGCAGTTGTCTTTGAGCGCACGGATTAGCTGATTATCGGCGGACATTTCTGTGGGATGTGGCTTGAAGACTAGTTCGATTTCATCATTGATGCCCAGTTCGCCGTTGCCCTCGCCTTCGGTATCGATATTCGAATCGCCCTCTGTTCGGCAATCCATTTGTGAGTCCGATTCTGATTCCTCCGAACGCTCCGATGTCATGACAGACATAGCACGTTTCGGCTTCGTACTGCTCGAATTTGATGGAACCGGAGATGGCGTGCTGCGCACCGAAGGCGGATTTGATGCATCATCCACTTGCATGCGATTCGATGAAGTGCTGGCGCCTGATGTACCCGCCGTTGTCGCAACCTGTGTGGTGGTGGTGTTAGTGGTTGTGTTGTTGCTACTGCTGCTGCTGGTGCTGACGGGTGTTGTAGTTGCTGCTGCGGCTGGAGCAGCAGGTGCAGCAGCTCCAGTTGCTCCAGCTGCGTCCCGTGACTCACGGTCATTGCCATTCGTATTGCTGTTGCTGTCATTGGACGCAGTATCGTGCGTATTGACAGCACGATTAGCATTTCCAGCGATCGCACCTCCATTATTATTGGCAGCAGCACCACCCCCGCCGCCTCCCTTGTTGGTGCGGAAGCGTTGCGGGCGATTCTGCGATTGCAGCTTGATGCCCTCATTGATGGAGTTGACGAGCGCCTTTTGCGATTGTGTTGGGTTGAATTTGGCCATAATTTTTTCTTGCGAAGCTTCGTATTCCTCGCGACTAGGATATATTTTCGATATGAGTAAGTCAAAGTTCGGATCGGCACGGAGCGAACGCTTGGACACAAGTTTTTTGCGACAAGTGGGGCACTCCTTGTTGCCGGAACGCAATGCAGTCACAATGCAATCCGAGCAGAACCGATGCAAGCACTCTTTGGTGGTCATCGTCTTCTTTAGCATGTCCAGGCAAATGGGACACATTAATTCGCTGTGCAAGCTGCGCGGTGAGACGGCTATTTCTGTGCTATCTGTGATTATTTCTTGAGGCTTGCGCTGCAGCTCGTACAGGGATAGATCCCACGTTTTATTTTGCGTTGGTTCCAGCGAGGCCATCCTCTCACTTAATTTTCTTTTCTTTTTCGTTTTCACAAAATTTTTCACTTAACTTTGCGTTTATTCGATAGCTGTGTTGCTTAGCGTTTGTTTACCATCGAAGATATGTTATCGAATAAGAAGGCTAACAGCGATACTATCGCAATCATTTAACTGTGTGGCAACACTGCAAGTGCTTAACTATTGTGTATATATGTATTTTTGTTTGCATGTTTGCATGTGTGCAGATTCTGGACCTGCTGCGCGGCATTTTCTGGGAGTTTTCTTTATAGCTAATTGCATAGCTTTCATATACAAACACAATTTGACAATGCGTCAACACTCCAGCTGCTGTCATGCTTGATTGACAGGCGTCACTCAAGTGCGCTGCATTCCTTTAAACATTTGACAGAATCGCGCCAAATATGGCTTAAATATCGTATAGCCGTTAACTAAATTGCTGTCGCCTGGAATTTGTGCCAATTGCCAAATTGATGCACTGCTTGCTAGTGTCTCTTAACTCGCATGCTTCAGACACTTTATTCCCAGCCAATGGGTTTTCCAGTCATCCATGGCAAAGCATAGTCGCTGCGTCAGACTGACTTTTCTCCAACTCAATCGCCTGTCATGTTAAATTGCGGCTGTGCATGCGTTCCAAGCCCAAGTGACGTAGCAGTTAGCTAATGTGCATATGCAATGTATACATATTTACAGTGTAAGAAATTTTGATAACAATTTAAAACTATTTATTAAATTGGAAAAAACTACTAACAGTTTTATAAATAATTACATATTATATATATAATTTTTTCCTTAATTTTTATCCTATTTAAATTTTTATAAATGCTATTCTAGCAAAGAACATCCAGTTTTTTTTGTGTTAAATGTTATTTTGAGTGTATATGAGGCGCCGCATTGCTGGACATTTAAGCGCGTGACAAGTAAAGACATTTGTCAACTGACATGGCCAATGCTCGCTAATGCCAAGGCCCGCATTGCACCTTTTAAATGCCTCATTAAGGGGCATAGCTAATGAGCGGTACGTGTAGGCGTGCCTAGAGATTTTCTCTGTCTTACTGCCAATCATCATCATCATCATCAGCAACTGCATCCCGGACATTTTCCATTTATCGACGAGCGGCCTCTCGACACCAATTGAACCATTGCACCCACACGACGCTTGAGGATCTGTGCCCTGTTCTCGATTCCAGCCAAGCCACAGGTTCATGACCCAAATGCTGACCAAATGCCAACGCTTCCTACTTTCAAGTTGCAGCAGCGAGAGACTTCGCTTCTAGCATTCCCAAGCTGAGTTTGCGTTTTATTGACATTAATCATTGGCAGCCTCTTGTTAAAATTTGCAACTAAACGTTTGGTACTCCATTGAAAGGGGCATGGCTTAAATACCCTGTGAACAAACCTATTGGTAGTCATAGGCTATGTTAGGTCGTTGGTTGCTTAGGACTATAAATTGTAGATATATTTTTCCTTAAAATTAAATGGCATTCTTAACAGTATTAGGAAATACCTAAGCTAAAATATAATTCATTTGATTGGTTTAGTACATAAGTGTACATACATGCTTTAATACATGGTGTACATAGAGTATCTCGACGCCGATCATGCTTACAGATTAGTTAGAACACATTCTTTGCTGTGTATTTTATGTCTTATTTATGGCTAGTTGTTAATGACAATGCATGACGTTCGTCTTCGGTCAACTAGGCACTCGAAACTCCATTCAAATTGCCTTCTCTTTCTCTCTCTCTCTCTGTATTTGTCTTCCTTTTATTTTTATTCCTGTTGCTGTTTGAATGCAATTTTTCTACTTTCCATATTTCTGTTCACATATCTTCTTGGAGAAGGAGAGCTTTTGTCTCTTCTGTGCCTCAATCATTCGGCGCAAGACCGGAAGCACGAAACCTTTCTGCTTCCTCTTTTAGATGTTTTTGGCTGTGCTTTGTCTGCGCCATTTTGTTTATTTTTTGGTCATTTTTTGCAGCATGCACCGTTTATGTAGTCAAAGAGGAGTATATAGTGTTACTTGTTGACCGACTATTTAAGTTAGAATATCAAATTTTGCCCTTGCTTATAGACTTGAGTCTATTAAAAGTAAAGATTGGACTATCTTCATATATTTAAAATTCTTAATTCTGCTCTGGAGATTGCTTTCAATATTATATCGATATCTATCGTTTAATCTAAATCGAAAACTTGAACATCACTAAGCAAAGATCTCCGTTAGAGTTACACCGATATCTAATTGATTTATGTATTTGTCCATAAATGAGCGAATATTAGGCGGCCATTAATGCCCGATTAAAACGTTCTCTCAGCAGTTTTTCTTCTCGATGTCTGCGCCATTGTTGGGTAAAGTGAAAGTTTTGGCTTGGATTTGAAGTTCGCCATTCGAAATTTTACGAATGCATAATTGAGCATAACTAGCGTAAAAGCGTCCGAACATGACCGCGTCTGAGACCAGACCAATTTGTTCGCTTTGCTGCTGAAATTGTAGAGTGCGCAGCTAGAGTATAGAGTATAGAGTGGGCAACATGGCACTTAACCCTAGTCGCAGGCTAAATCCTTAGCCTCTGCTCCAAATCAATTCAATTCAATTTTTGTGTGAATGCAACTGTAGAGTGCATTCCAGGCCAGCTAGACATACAGTTGGCATGTCAGCGACAGAGACGGTCTCATAGCGGCACCCACCCATACACACACAGAGAGAGAGAGAGAGAGAGAGAGAGACACAGACACATACATATGCAGAGCGAGTGCATACAATCTGTTCGAGCACTTGGCCAACAATTTGACAATAACGAGCTGGGCAAGCTGCCCGCCCAATTTTCAAACCAAACCTGAAGTTGAAAAGCTTGCCACCACAGAACAATAATAATAGCAACAACCACATAACAAGCAACCATACACTGAAGCAAGAGAGCTGCACGACTAGAGACTACTCAGTCCTCCAGTCCAGCTTACTGCTTTATAGAATGTGTACAGGGTATCCTTCAGTCAATCATTGTTACAGCCAGAATGCATGGTTAACAAACATTGTTCATGTCTTACTCTAGTGTAGCTTAACAAATAACTGTACAATAATTTGACGTATAAGCAGGAGGCGTCTTTAGAAGAAAATTATCAATATTCCTCAATTATAATATACATTACTAACTATACAGCTATAATTCTTGAGCTATACAAATCCAAATTCTTATCGTGTGAAAATGATAAAATCCATGTCTTAACATATTTTATTGTTGCTTCAGCATTCTTGCTACAGACAACATATAATCAACATTCATCCACTTTCCAAAGCATATACAGGGTATTTAACAATTGGACTTTTCAATTGTTTGGTCTGTTGTCCAAATATTGCCAGGTCGAGTGAGCCACAGCGCGTGTTTGGCTCATTATTATGAAGCGCTCTTTGCCTTTGTCTTTCACTGGGGCTTTGCCTTTGGCGAGGCCATAAATAAATCTCAATTAAAGTGCAACCCTTTTCTTATTTTTCATAGCAAGGGTATTATAAATTTGTCACGATGTGGACAGCTCTGAAGCATATAGGAGTATGTATGCGAAGACTTGTATACTTCGGTTAGGATTCATAGAGTACGCAAAGATAAAAAATAAATAAAAAACTGATTTAAAATATTTTATATTATTTAACTTGACAATTTCGTAGACTCCCCTCGTATGTAGGTATTTATAAGAGTATTTAATTTTCGCCAGGCTCGCAGCTAACTGTGCTTGCAATGTGTTTTTGTTTTTTGCAGATAGAGGGCGTGCTTGTGCGGGATAACAATCAATCAGCGAACAAGTGAGTGAGTGGCAAGAGTAACAACAGCAGGACTCAATCTCCCGCTGCTAGGCTGTCCAGAGAGTTTGTCCCACGTTCACACCACGCCCGAGCCAAAGGCAGACGCCTTTTCGGCAGCCATGCTTTATTCTTTTGTCTATGCCAGCCAAACTCCCGCAACTGCAGCCGGTTCCCCCACCACGTCGCAGCGCACTTGCATGTGCTTTATTTTTTTTATGTTTTTAGTTTTGGTTTTTGTTGCTGTTTGTTTTCCACTGTCCAGCCTAGACCCTGGGACTAAGTCTCAGTCACAGTCGTTAAGCGTGACTTTCTTATTGTTGTTTGTTGGCTTTTTGCATACCGACAGCAGCAGCAACAAACAGCGAGCAAACAAAAGAGCCGAAGTTCCAGCAGCCGAAGCCTCAAACCCAAAACCCGAAGCCAAAACGTTGGCCACTTGGGCGCTGGCCATTCAGTCTTTGGCAAGTTATTGTCGCGTGCGGACGTGTCTGCGGCTAACACAAGTGCATCAAATAAAGAACTGTAAATCACGATTAACAGTGCACTGTTAAATTAACATAGTGCCCAACTTTGGCGCCATCAAGCGATGCGCTATTAAGCATACATTTTCAAGTACAACATTTTATGTTAATCACAATGAGTGCAACAAGAACAAAAACAATCACAGAAATAACAACAATAAAAGCAGCTACCAACTGGCGCTGGCTATGGTAAGTAAATATGTATATGTATAAATTTGTATGTATGAAAGTATGCAGCTTCAGTTGCTTATGCGCAGCCAAGAGAGTCCTTTGAGCCGATCTGTTTGCGTGGCAGCCACCGCCAAGAGGACCACTGGCTTCTCCATCAACTGCTCCGTTTGCGTGCTGCTGCGGGTATATACATATATACATATATATGTATATATGATTTATTGGGTATTATCAGTGTTACCTACTCTGTGATCGTTCGCTCGGTTTGGGTGTGTGCCTGCATCTGTAGCTGCTTGCTGGACTTGGCTGCTGGCCTGGCCCAGATCCTGAACTTGTTGCAATGCAACCGTTTGTTCAGCCTGTGAAGGCGAGTGCAGTGAATCGGCTTTTAGTGCATGACATTGTCCTACCTTTTCGAGTGCCTTTGCTTCGGCTTGAGCATCTCAGCCTGCTTGGCTGCATCCTGTGCCTGTGCCTTTTCCAGTCTTTGCTTTACCAATTCCAACTGCTTGAACTCCACCAGCTGATTGATGGATTCAACGCTGTTAAGCAACAGATTGCTCTGGTTATTCACAGATCGCAATAGCAAATTAACTATACGCTCCTGCAGCTGAAACACTCTCTCCTCCCCCTGCCTCTTGTGGTCCGACATGCTTGAGAAATCTGTTTGCGTGAAGTTATCCTGGCGGCGGGTTACGCACAATGTCTGAGTGCTTCTCATAGTCGTCGCAATGGGCATGACCTCTGTCTCTGTCCACCTGGACTTCAGCTCCAGCACCATCTGCGTGGAACGCGTCTCCATCTGGAGATGCTTTGTCTGGCAACTGGCGGAGTTGAAGAGTTGTATAAGCGTCTGCTGCTGCCTGGAGATCATCAGACTTAGATCCATCGTATCCACAGTGCAATGCGAGTATCGAATCACAGTTGTTTGACTATCTGCCTCCTTTGTACTGGGAGACGCTTCCATTATGTCGATGGTCGACTGTGTGTCAGCAACGCAGGCTCGCGCCATCCTCATCTGGCGCAGCAGTCGCTTGGAGCGCCAACCTCTTCGTATGACTTTCGCCTGTCTTATCGTCAGGTAACCGTCCTGCAGCACATAGCAGAGCATATAGCTAACAGAGGCTGTCAATAGAGCAGTTATCACTAGGTTAGTAACTCCTAAAGCTCACCTCCCTTTGTCGCACTTAATGCGCTTGTGTTGCAGCAATGGACCCTCCGTCGACATAGACAACTGGAGCAAGGCCTTTAAATCTACCTTAAACATGGCTAAAAACAAACAAAAAATATTAATTTCGATAATAAATAAAAGCTAAAAAAAAACTATATTTTGTAAAATTTGAACATAAAATTAACAAATTTTGTGTTCCCAACTAAACATAAATTAAAGCTAATAAATAATAAATGCTTAAGCTAATTGTTCCAATTGGTATATCCTGAATTCAATAAGCGAAGCTATACATATGTATAACCCTAGCTTTAACTCTGTGAAACTTGGTATATTTTCGTCCTTTTGCTGTTGACAGATCTGGTTAAGCCTCCTATATTCCTGTTGGAGTTTTCAACCGAAAAATGTCTCGACTCCTTTGCTCTTTAAGCTTTAAATACGCTTAAATGCAGTATCTAAGGGTATCTGAGCTGTGTCATATTTTTATTTTACGGTATTTTTTCGACATTTTTTACTGTGTGTTAAATTAAAAAGCCAATCGACTGAGTTGTGTCTGCGTCTGGCCACAAATCTGTTCAATTTTGACACGCAGCCCTTTGCGAATTTGTCTTTTCGAACACGCAAACTTTGTGTTGTTCGTTGTTTTTGGTTGTTTTTTATTTTTATTTTTTTGTTAGCTGTTGTTGTGGCTTCTTTCTCGTTTTCGTTTAGCCGCGGGGACTCCTTTGTGCTCTGGCTGGTTGCATTAATAATTCACATATGCCACATCTGTTGTCTGCGAACTGCATTCGATTATTTTTCAATTTATCAACTCAATCCTTCAACGGGGAAACCTGCCCTTGGTTGGGTTGGCAATTGGTGGTCAGTGCTAAATACGTGTCGATTGGAATACAATTTGATTTGACTGCTGGCATTGCAATTGGAGGAAGCGCAGTGTCGTGCCATATGCCCGGGCCATGTTCTGCAGAGTCAACGACTTGCCCCTGCTCAAGCATCAATCAGAGGCGGCAGCCTCTAATCCCGCCTGGGGGGCGCATTGGTTTTTAAGTCTTGACTCACAATTTATGCCAGCTTCGCTCAAAACTACTTGTACACTCTTACTTCCGAGCATCATAGCTAAGTAACTTAGTTGGTTATATTATTGATAACTTTTGGAACTCGACTGTTACAACTTCGATAAGTTTTATAACAGTTTGAATTTATATCAGTTTTATGCCTGCCCTCTTCAAAAACTTGGCAGTCTGGCAGCCTCAGCAATATCCATGTAAATTTATGCCAGTTGTCTAGCTGCTGTGTTGGCAAATTTTAAGAGCTAATTTATACCAATTTGTAAAGCCAAGTACGCATTGCTTAGCAGTCTGGCAGCTTTAAAATCCAAAATAGTTTCTTAGTCATAAATCTTTGTAAGGGCATTTAAACTGCGACACTGCTGTGATAAACAGTTTTTTACTTTAAATTTTTTTCTTTGCGCATAGAACGTTGCATGCATTATGTGTGAGTGTGTGTGTGTGTGTGTCTTCAGGCTAAGTCTTGTCTTGGGACCCACTGCCAAATGCCAGGCACGTCGCTACGCTGTGGTCGCCTTCGGTTACATTTGATGCATAAAACTTCGTCAATATATGCCCGCATACATAAATGTATGTATGTATGTATGTGTCCAGTATAATTTGCTGCTTGGCCCTGTAAAATGGCCAACTGCTTAGTCGGTCAATAACTTTTGACGCTGTGAAGACATCGATATTGGCACAGCCTAATGATTTTCTGGAGCATTCTGCCAGACCGTTATATTGCCAATTCTCTCTTCCTCTCTGTCTTTCGCTGTATCGGCAGCTTTTTGTTGTTTTTGTTGTTGCTTGCAAGTGAAATTCTCTCACACCCCTCCACTGAACCGTAGCGCATGTGACTTTCGTCTATGCCCGTTTTCTCAGCTATTCATTTTACACACATATAATACATTGTAATTGACTAGCGTTAGTGTATGTGTGTGTGTGTGTGTGTGTGTACGTGCTCATTTGCATTTTTAGACGCTTTTCTTTGCGTTTTCTTCCTTATTATTGGTGGGCAACAACAACGAGAGCATTAGAACTTTGTTGCATGCATTAGAGCGGAGCACGTATCAAATTATCAATAAGAAATCACGAAATGAAATCAAAAATCTAAAGTTTCTAACATTAAATATAATATAAAATAAACAAAAACTCTAAATATGCTCATTCAATCAATATAGTTAATAAAAACATAAATCGTGCAAGCTTCTGACTTCACTTTCGTGACACGCGCACATCTCTGGCATGCACCCTTTGGCCAATTGTCAGTCGCTGGCTGGTCGGCTGGCCCGTTCGTTCGTTCGCCGGGTTTAAAATTTCAAAAGGTTGGCCGCTTCTTAAATTCAGCTCAAAATGCATTCTCTTGGCTCTTGACTTGGATTACAACGGCCCATCGAATGTGGCAGGCACTGACGCTTGATTGACCCTGAACCCCTGAGATATGTGTAGTGCACCACGCTTAATCCCTTATAGAATTTCGCACATAAAATCCAAAAATACTAGCAAATAAAAAGACAGACCATAAAATGAGTTTTTATTTTGCAGTTTCTGTTGCTTCCTTTGCTTGGCTGCTGCGGCACAGGCGGGCAGCAGCAGCAGCGGTAGCGGGAGCAACTCCTCTACAGCGCTTGCCAAGGATGCCACGCATACGTATAAAATCAGAAGGCAGGACAAATACCAGCAGCAACAGTTGCCACAACAGTTGCAGCTGCGGGGCAGCCAGAGCGATGTTGTACCAGCTATGCAACAAAAACAACTGAAAAGACGAACACATGCACTCAACAAGAAGATGCTCAGGTGAGTAACGATAAGAGGTTTGAAGGGAGCGCTCAAGCTCATTTTGGGCTTAATTAATGCAACGTGTCTAGTGCCAAAGAACAAGAACAACAACAACAACAACAGCAACTGCAACTGTTGCGCACGTCTGTGTTTAGCTGGCGTGTCTGTGCGATCATAAATTATATTATGATATATTCATGGTAAACGTTTAGGGCTTACTGGACGGGCAGATAGACAGACAGAGGCAGCCCCCTTTTGCTATCTAAATATATATAAATGGTTTTTCACTGTGCCTGGCACTTGTAATAAAATTGAAATCTACTGCGTCCATGAAGTTTTTAATATTCAAAAATGGCGAACTGATCGCTTTCTTCCAATTTCTGGCAACGCTTTTCTTTATGCCAATTTTATATTTAAAAAGGACTATGAATGGCCAGTCTGGCAGCTCTGTCATTAACACAATTTCTCACAAAACTTTTGATTTTGGCACTAATTAATACCAAATTGTTAATTTCATCTGGTAGCCTATTTTAACAATCATTGAATTTAATAAAATAGCTTAGCAACTCGAACTATATATGTCTATGTATGTCAACGTTTTCTCTCTGTGTATTGCACTTGCAGCAAACTGGGCTTTGTGAAGGTGAAGGCGCCGAATAGCCATAACCGGAAACGCTTGGCTGTTGAATCACGACGTCATGCATCGCGGGATGATTCACACATGTTCATCATCAAATTGCCGCCAAATCTGCACTACTACACAGGGCCCAACAGCGTGCGGAATACACTGGATGCTGTCAAGGGGCAACAGCAGGAGCAGAAGAAACAACAACAGCAGCAGCCAGAGAAGTCTCATCAAATGAGCAACGGCATCCATGACAACGCACCCAACATGCCAGCGCAGGCCAGCGAGGCGTCGGCGTTGAAAACTAACGGGAAAAAGGTAAACGGGATTCCATTAGGTTACGCCAAAAAAAAAAAAACAACAACAATGTAAAGAACTGGCTCTAATATCGCTTCTTCGGGCCTGGCCTGGTCGGGTTTGGTCTGGCCAACAGTTGATAAGCATCGCGCGCGCATGTGCACAAAACAAATTGCAAAAAGCAAACACATACAAACTCACACACACACACATCCAGACAGGGGCCGAGCTGAAAATGGATTACCCATGTGGGCCATTGCATTTCGTCGACTGCTGCAGTCATGGCTCACCCATATAGACAACAAATAAGTAAGAGTGCTATATTGCAGGCGGCGCGACCATAAGATACCCAGCAAAAGCTGACGTATAGTCAATACATCCTTATCTACTTATCGACCTAATGACTGCAGCTATCGATAGCTTTGAGTAAAGAAATTTGAATTCTCTAACTATCGCCGTCTCCAATCCTGTTGCTGTTATCGATATGCCAATCAATATGCCAATTGTGTATCGAGCTACAGGGTATAAATAGCTAAAGCACACATGCACGTCCAACTGGCGACCGAGTTACCAACTTCGGGCACAGCTTCCAGACATTATTGTGGCAGTGGCAAAGCCAGTGACAGCTACTCCACAGTCTCAGCTATTTATATACCCATGGAAGATGCCATTGCAAATTCAGTTGCAGTTGCAGTTGTTGTTGCTGCTGTTGCTGTTGCTGCTGCTGCCGCTGCCGCTGCTGTGTCAATGTCAATGTTGTTGTATGCGGCAGGCATAAAAATTATTACGCTCTCACGGCTCCAGCTTTAAATAAATATGCAAGCCATGGGCCATTAACCAACTTCAATTAAAAATGCAATTTGTTAGGAGACACTCGTTGACTAATTTATGGCGTTTGGCCAAAAGCCACCAACAGATATGGCTAATGCTAATGCAACAGTTACTGTTACTGTTAACATTAATTTAAATATAATTGGTATATATATATGCAGCTTATCAATATACATGACTTATAGTCCGAGGCATGTGGAATGTTAATGTTACAGTAACTGTTATTGCTAATGTTAGTTTATATGTTCTGTGTACAGCTTATGTAAACATATTACATAACACATTTCGAGTTCCAGAGCTGTAGCTAATGATTATGTTAATGTTACTGCTATGTTATTTTAAATGCTGTTACTCTTGCAGTCGTTACAGCATTACTGTTAATACTCATACTGTTACTAGTACTGCCACTGTTAATGCTGCTGCTAGTCGCAGAGTTACTGCTAACAGAAATGTTATGGCTGTACGCATCTAATCAATACCCATGACGCATTGCAGGTTTCATTTCCGTTTAGCTCGAATGGACGACCGGCTCGTATCTATCATTGGAATCTGCCTGTGCTGAAGCAGGCGCTGCAAAAGAATCCGCATTTTGCGCACGTCTCAGCGGCGGATCGCAATCGTCTGCTGGACATTGAGAAGATACCGACATGGCGTAAACCCTGGGAGAATGACACGATCGAGAAGTCCTTTACAGCGGGCAGCGGCAAATCCAAGTACAGGAAATCGCTGAAGCAAAAGTCGCCCACATACTATGCACCCTCGCAGGTGGTCAACAAGCAAAGCTTCCACAAATACTTTGCCGGCAATGGCAAGCCCAAAGGGCTCTACGTGATCAAGGAGCACCAGACGAAGCCGCAGTTCTATCAAAATATCATATCATAAGATTTTTACTTTCACTTTTTCAGCTATCCAATGCCAATTAAGCTCGGCATGCATCTATAAGACTGTGGTGAGGGCATTTGCTAATTATAGTGTTTTATTTTTAAATGTATGTACTCTATATTATATATATATGTATATTTAAATATATATATATATATATGACTTAATATTCCAGTCACATGTGGACTGCATTTCTTTTCAAGCATTTCCGTCCAATTCCTGCAAATTGTAAGCAAAATTCAAATGGTTTGCAACTGTGACTAAACAATCAACTGGAATTTATTTATTAACAAATAATCAGCTTCTCGTATATTTAAGTGCATGCACGAATCTGTTTAAACAAATAAATACGACTGATTTAAAACAAAAACCTATTCACATGAATAGCTCAATTTATTCAAAAAGCAAATATAAGCAGCGCGAACACGTTCCGGGAGAGTGAGAGCAGCTCAACAAACTTATAAACCTAGTGATACAATTGCAGATGCACAGGTACAGATACAGATACATGTATAGTAGAGAGACACAGATACAGATACAGATACAAATACAGATAAAGATAAACAGTACTAAAATGCAGATACAGATACTTACATAGGACAGATGCAGTTAGAGATGCAGAGACAAATACAGATACAGATATAGATACATTTATAGATACATATGCTTCAGATATAGATGTAGCTACAGAGGCAGATAAGGATATGCATGCAGAGATAAAGCTGCAAAATAGTTTAGAGAAGCATACATATATAGACCTGCACAGATACATTATATTACATGTATACCTTCAGATACAGATAGAAATAAAGTATCTGATAGAATGCCAAAATCTTTTCTTGTTTTTTTTTTGGCTGTCTGCGCGCAGCTGCTCAAACAGCGTAACGTGTGCAATTTTGTTAGGAATTTTTTGTTTTGCTAATTATACGAGAAGTGGAACTGAACAATTGAGATCGAGATTCAGGTTGAGTCTGAGCTTGAGCTTGTAAGCCTGGGAGTGCGCCCGCTAAGCCCTGAGCTTGATATGCGCACTCGCCTGGAAACGGAAGCGAGGCATGCGCAATTTCTCGTTTGGCAGATAAAAAGCTCAAGCTACACACACTCACACACACACACATACAGCTGAAGGTGCGTACGCAGCAATAAGCAACATTAATAATAATAATAATAATAACAATGATATGTTCACAGACGACAAAAAGTCGGGATAGGCGCACCTACGCAAGTGGCGCATAAATAATCGGCTTGATTTTGGGGCTCATTATACACTGCTTTAGTGTAGCCAAAGCGGGTATATTGGGTATCATTTGTTAAGTAAATTACTGTGCGAAGTGTTGCTTATAAGAGATCTAATTATACACTGTTTTAGTGTAGTCTAAGCGGGTCTATGGGGTTGCTTGTGAAAACTGGATGCTCGTATGCAAGGTTTTATATAATAGATCTATGATATATCTGTTAATATCTATCTATTAATTATACAAAATTAGAATCGATATCATCAAAGGAATCTAGTTTTGGGTGACTTTGGCTGCTCTGAGCTCGAAGTTATGCTTTCAGAACAAAATTGGAATATCGATTTGTATAAATAATAAACTAATTTAGCTGCGTAGGGTATACAGAGGCTTACATTAAGCTTTGATTGATCATGAGATCACTGCGCTTAGGCCACTGCAGAGACGTACGAATATGCCTAGAAGACTAACCTCTTTAGCTATATCGAGTATACAGATTATACGTCACCTAGCTCTCTGGACAGAGTATCAGGCAGTCAGTCACACCCGCTCTGCGTGCTTGGCATTTTTTTTGTGTTGTTATTGGGGACTTTGCCGCATAATTGTTTTCATGGCTTGGCTTGGCCTGGCCCGGTCTGGTCGGGCTTATGCTTTTCCATCGCCGCTGACTCACGTACATTGAACTTTTCACCCGAGTGTGTGTCTCTGTAGCTGTAGCTGAATTTGTGGCTGGCGCATTGCGTGCCCATCTTAAGTAGACTTAATGACTCGTTGTTTTGTGTGCAAAAACTGAAAGAGAATCACAATGTGAGACATAAATCACATTTATGACGACTGCTGCCGCCCGGTCGGCAACTTAATAGGTTGAGAGCTCGGCTGCATTGATTCATCTGCCTAATGGCATTCCAGAATGCAAAGCGCAGCTTGGCCCGCGGCTGCCGCGGCGTTGACAACAGTTAGATCTGGCCATCACAGATGCCACATTGCAGTCAGATAACACTCATTGGGATAAATGTGGCATGGGGCATAAGGCAAAGCTAAGTAAAACCAATCTGCAAACAACAAGTTAAGCTTCTTGATATCAGCGCAGCAACTTGTTAACGCCATTCCATTTCCGCCTGTCATATCAAAATAATTATCTCAAAGTGTTGCTTAGACCAACCAAGTCCTAGGAACCATGACCACGATATGCGGCAGCGACAGCAGAAGCAATCAGTAACGGGCGTCGTTTGGTTTGCGTGCGAGGAGGCATTGGTGACTACAACTTGATTTGCGAGAACTTGTTTTACACGCAATCTTGATTGCAATTATGTAATACCGAAATGTGCACTAATTAAAATAACATTTCACTTAATTGTATTTACATAAGTTTCGCGATTGCTTATTAATTTGCTGTGTAGCATACGAACGTGTGCAGACAAAGCTTATTAACTGTCGCTCAACCGCTCAATAGATAATCTAGTTGAAATTGACAAGTTGCTTGTGGCACTTACTTTGGCCGCATTATTGAATTGCGCGCAAAATGCAGCAGCTAAAATTCAAATTGGAATTCAAATCTAACAGCCAGTGTGGCGCAATCTAGTTGGCAATAGATGGCGCTGCTTAGCTTAACAGAGCTGCCACTGGCGCTGTCGATTAGTAGTTATCGATTCTTATCACAGCAAAATTAACTATATGGCCTCAAATTTGAGCTCCCAATTACGCGACATTATCCTCAACACACATGAACCTTTAGTATTGCCTGATTTTCCCCTTAACTGGGAATGTTTTGACGAGTCGTTGCTGCAGTGGTGCACCCGGTATGACCAGGACGCCAGCGTCGCCTCTCTGCCGACATTCGAGAGCATGCCCGTCGCAGACTGCCAGACGCCGCAATGGGAGCGCAAGAGAAGACACGTAAAGATGACAATGCAGCAATTTCTAAATAATTTCACAACAAATGCAGACAAGCAGCAAACAGAGTGGGCGGCCTATCAATATGTACGTGCACAGGAAATCCCAGTCAGTTGCTTGAGCGGCATCGATTTCAAATGCTTTGGCTTTGCGGAACACCAGAACGACTACAGCCTGTGGCTGGGCTCCGACTGTGCCAATACACCGTGCCACTACGATACGTACGGCGTGAACATAGTGGTGCAGGCATATGGCAGCAAGTCGTGGCTACTCTTTCCACCCGAGACTCCACTGCAAAGCACTCGGATACCCTACGAAGAGTCCAGTGTTTACTGCCTGGAGAACTTCTATGCTCCCGCACCGGATAATCTGCGACACTACCAACAGTTCCAAGAGCACGCCTATCACTGTCTGCTGCATCCGGGCGATGTTCTGATTGTGCCCCGTCACTGGTGGCACTACGTAGAGGCGGTGGCGATGTCATTGAGCGTCAACTATTGGGTGCCGCTCAAAAATGACCTAGACCTGACACTGGACGAGCTCCTAGTCAAGCATGTGGTCGAGAGCTTTGTGAAAGGTGAAAGCGGTGAACTGAAGCAATATCTTTTGAATCCCAATCAGATGGATGAGATAGCCGAATCCGCCAGCTTGCTCTTTGGTCAATTTGAACACGCCGTACTAAAGCAGAACTTGGACAGTAAACGACGACTGTGGGATACTGACTATTTGACTCAGAATGAGGTATTAAAATTGGTAGGCAGCGTTCCAGTGCGTGTGCGTGCCCTGGACGTGATGTCCAAGGAGGCGTATACACAGCTGCTCACTAACAATGCTAAACGACGTGGAGCAAGCAAGTCCGAGCAGAAGGAGGATACGATAATCAGCTCCACGTTGGAGCAGCTAATCAATAGCATGTGCGCGCCTCGATGCATTGCGTCCATCAAGAGGGAGTTCTTCCGACGATTCAATCTGGATGATAAATTATAGCGCTAAGACGGAACGTTTATTGTGATACACGTATATATGAGATTAAAAATCCAATAAGCATTCATATATGTTCCATAACAGAATTTGAGGCGGAACCGAAAGGGAGGGAAGGAGTAGGAGGAATTGAAGCATTAAATGCCATAGATAGAATCTAAATTCATGAATAACATAATATGCGAGTCGCTGGCTAGACACAGTGCGAGATAATTGGATGCATTTCGCCAGTTTACCAGCCGGGTGGCTTCTGGTTGGGATAGCCGCCATGTTGATGAGCAAAACTTCCGGGATATGTGCCATAGTTTCCGGGTGCCGGTCCCTGAGGGAAGCCACCATACTGATAGGGTGCTAAAAATAGAAAATATAAATTCGAAAATCGTTTCTTTCCAAGTTAGCTAAGCATACGCACCGCCTGGATATGGCAGAGTGGCATAGGGATTGAAGCTCTGTGGCATGGGCGGTGGTACATATGTAGGATACGGCACATTTGCCGAGGCCCCATAAGGCAGGGGCATATGCACCTGAGCTGGATACGGAGCATTCGAAGCAGCAGCTGTTGCAGGCACATTTGGAATATCTAGAAGTAAAGGGGAAATTAAAGTTAACTTGTAATGCATCGGGAAATTCCACACAAGATCAAACTCACCGCTGCCGCTGCCCGACGTGGAGGCATAATGTGATGGCAGAGCCGGTGTAGCCGGCGGTGCCTGGCGACTCGATTCGGTGGTCAAGTCCTTGAGGAGTTCCTCCTTTTCGGTCTTACGTGCAAACACAAAATCGCTGATCTTATTCTGAAACACAACCAACAACTGGGTGAGGTCATTGTAGAACTTGGTGCCCTCCTGCAGATTGCCAGATAGCTCGATATAGCTGTCGTAGGCGGTGGCCAGCTCCTGGTACAGTGTATCGCGAGAGCTGCCACAGGTGCCTGTTTCGGCTACGAAGGTGCCATGGGCGCTCTGTATGTCAGCGACTAACGTTGTTTGGCGCTCCACACTTTCCTTAACCTGAGCCTGCAATGGGCTTAGCACCTGACCAATGCGTGACAGCGACAGGGCTGGCTCATCGATGGCACCATCCTTTTGCAGAGCAAGGAGAAAGTCATCCTTCATATTGAATGTGGCCGACTTTAGCTCCGATTCAACAGCATCACGCTCTGCCTTGATTGTCTCAACAGCTTCCATTAGATGCTTGAGACGCTGCACACTGGAACAGTTGGGATCCACACTGCCGCTAGCCGATGGCAGCGATTGCTGTATTTGTTCCGGCGGCATTGAGAGCAGCTCAATACCCTTCTGGTTGGCTTCGAACTTCTGGCGAACCACCTTATCGGCCTCGATGGCATTGGTGATGACCTCGCGGTATTTCTTGGAATTGGTACGAAACATTTCGGTTAACTTGTCAGAGCTGATGCGTGTCCAGCGCTCTTTGAACTGTGCGCGCAGCTGATTATCCGAGTCTCGCTCCTCATCCAGCAGCCGTTCTGTTTCATCCAAGATCTCTCGGTTGCGATTGAGCAGCTCCGGCAAATCCTTTAGCATTGTCTGCAAATGCTCTATTCCGCCCTTCTCACGCACCTCGTTAGCCTTTTCGCGCAACGATGGCGGTAAGCCGCTATTGGCATCTGTCGTCTCCACGGCAGCGGGCAGATTTAGGCTAGCCAACACCGCATTCAGGGTTTGGGTAGACTCGCGCAGCTTCATGATTTCAGTATTGACAATCTCGTTCTTGCGCATATCAGAAGCGGTCAGCGCACGATGCAACTCAACGGGTACCAGACTGCTGAAGATGTCCTTGAAGTTTGTAGCCATTGGCGCGGCCAAAGGCAGCGGCTTGGCCAGTTGCGCTTTTCCGGGCGAGGCCAATGAGCTCAGCTCTGGTATCATTTCATTGTAAATAAACTCATTGTCCTTGGTAGACTCGGCGAGATTGCGTTTAGCGCGACTAAAGTACTCATCCAGATAGGTATCGTTGCCGCCGCGGGATTGCGCTGCTTTGAACAGTTCGACGGCATTGCGCAGACGGGCAATTTCTTCGCCAATCCTCTTGGCCGAGCGACACACAAGGCTCTGGTACAACTGAGTTAGGGCATGGAAGCCCGCCTGCTTGCCAGCCACTGTGGGTATCCATTCTTTCTCCCAAAGACTGCGCACCGACTCCTTTTGCATGGCACGCAGCACATCGGCATAGAACTCCTCGCCCTGGCAGCACAGTTTAGCTATGATTTGGTCCTTCATATTGTCTGCGCAAATATGAGCTTATTAGTATATAAAAACCATCTATATTTTATTCATTTTACCTTTAATAGCCTTCAGTATAAACACTTCTTGGGCCTGTGCTATCATCAAGGCCTGCAGCACAATTAGTGTATCCTGACTCAAATCTGGAGTCGGTTCAGAGGGCACAGCTGCGGGCGTGGCACCCTTCAAGTACTGGTATATGCCAGCGCTCTGCTGCAACAGTTTTATGGCCAGTTTGAGACCTTCGTCCGTGTCCAATTCCTGACTGGCAGCCACGCTGCTCTGCAAAGCAGCAATGTTGAAGAGCACGCATACCTTCTCGTACTGCAGCGAGGTATGAGCTGAGCGATGAAACGTGTTTAAACCGGTTGCTTATGGCATCATAGCAGTCGCAATACTCACTCAGACTGATCTTGCCTCCGAAAATGGAACCCTTATCGAAGGCATCCTTCCACTTGAATGGTATCTGCAGCTCACTGGCGGATATCTTTGTTTCCAATGCGGTTATTTGATCGTAGTAGCTAAAGTAAGTAAAAGTGAAACCAAACGCCAACGGCGCTATATTAAAGACGACGTCATCGGCTGTATGCCTGTGTTTACGTCCGATTCTTTTTCTCTATTATTCTGTCTCTCACACACACACTTGCAACACTTGACTAATTACAGCTACTCTACTGCTATCAACCGCTATGAGTCATTGCACACTGCAGACCGTGTGTTCGGCTATCAGGAAGTGTTATAAAAGAAAGTAAATCCCACTTACGCATAAACGATTTCCAGCGATGTCTCATACTTTTCGAAAAACTTCCAAATTGCTGTATTGCGTTGCTTTGAAAATTCATTTACAGCCTCTGCATACTGCGCCTTCTCCTCGGCACTAGCTCCATTGTAGGTGCTTTGTATTAGATTGTTCAGTGGCTTTATTATGTCCACCTCAGACGGCTTCTTCAGTGGCACACCCAGTAGTTTGGACATTTTTAATGTTATTTGCAGCAATTCACTTATTTTTTAAGAAACACTATTAAAATTTAATTTGCAGACGGAAACTTGTTTTTTTTTTTTCGTTTTTGTGCGCTGCCCCTATCTCATCAACAGCTGCGGCCAGTGTTGTCGAATTTGTAGGCAAATGGGTGAGTAATAGCGCCGCTTGACGCGCTGCTATTAATAGTAGAACATTCCTTTTCGGTGTGGAGCACTTCTGAAAATTGTGGAGTAAGTATGCTTACAATTTAAGCAATTTGATTTGTCATGTCCTATAAATTTTTAAGCTCTTGTTGTTTTGCACAACCAATATATACAAATTGGCAAGCCAAGAATACATATTGACTTTTATCCATTGTATAGTAGATCTTAAACACAAATTAAAGACTAGGTCCGAAGCTACTCTGTTAAGCGTCATGTTACCGGTGTCTGTTGAGAAAGCGGCCATTATTTTAATTATTGTGACTGATTTCAACACCGCCCAGCTGACAACTCTACCTTATACGTACACAGCATGTCAACTCTAGACACTTTCTATTTTCTGATTGCGTTGTTGTGGAAGAAAACTGGGTGAAAATAAGAAATTTCTGTCAATATCTTAACATTAAATCAAACCTTTTGCACTGAACATAGAAATAAGTAGGGAACGTCTGTGAATTACGTGTGTCAGTGGTTGTGTGCAAGGAGGCGCTAACCACGAATATCGGGGAAAAACACTTGCAGTAACTGCAAAAAAAAGTAAAGGGAAAATAAAAAAAATCGAAGAATCCCCTAGCGATGGCTGATGTTGAAAAAATGACAGCTGCACCAGCGACTGATATACCTGCTTCATCGCTGAACGTCAATGAAACAGGAACAGCTAGCGGCAGCGCAGCAGATCTGGGCACCTCGCCCACACAGGAGCCATCGAGCAATTCGCATCCCCATGACTCCGAATACGACACCGCCAGTGATCTGGAGGGTGATTACGATGACGATGAAAGCGACAGCGAGGATGAAACAGAATCGGACGATGACGAAACGGATGAGGACGACGATGAACTGGGCAGTGGCACCGTGAGCGGCAATGGTCTCGATCGCAGCGGTGCCGATAGCGAGGCACAGAAGAAAGTCGATGAGGATCGTAGCAATCCGCAGTATATACCAAAACGTGGCACTTTTTATGAACACGACGACCGTACGGCCGAAACTGAAGCCGATGGCATTATTGATATTGGCAGCGATGGGGGCCAATGCCCACCAGGCGTAGAGCCCACTGGCGATGATGTGTCCAATGGCAACACTGCCACAGGATCCACACCGGCTGGACAGACGCCAACAATATCTCAGGCATCAAAAACAATGAAGAAGTGGCAGCCAGCTTCAGGAGGTGATCGTTGGTCCCACGATCGCTTCGAGGCCAGCGAGCAGGCGCCCAAAACACGGGCGGAGCTATTACAATCCTATGGATATGATATACGTAATGAGGATGCAGCACCGCGTGCCCGTCGACGACGACGTTATGGGCGTGGACCAAGCAAATACTCCAGAAACTGGGAAGATGAGCAGGCATACCTAAAGGCCAGCAACAAGGAGCGTAAACCACCTCGGCCCCAGGACTTTCCAGCGCTCAACGAACGTGGCAGCGCGTCCAGCAGCAACAACAAAGTGCGTCGACCGCGCAGCTCCATATCGCGTGAAGAGAAGGAAAATCGCGGCGAACGTCGCAATAATGTGGCCGCTCCTGGTGCTGGCGTTGGCAATGAGAAGCAGCATGCCACTGGCTCCGGCTCAATGCCAGGCAAATCACAAGAGCCGCGTGATCGTGAACGTGAGCCCAAGCAACGTAACTATGGACGTACTAACGGGGGCCATAATGCAAACGGCCGACAAAATGCCATGGAGTTCAAACAAAAGTCAAATCGTGCCTCGCATGGGCGCGGCGATCAAAGAGATTATGTGGAGCAGCGCGGGGAGCGGGATTATCATGTGAACAGATCAAATGGCAGCGGCCCCAAGCAGATAATTGATATGCAAACACATCAGCAACAGCAGCAGCAACAGCAGCAACAACAGCAGCATCAACCGCAACAACAACAGAGGCAGCCACAGCAGCAGCAGCAGCAGCAGCCACAGCAGCAACAACATCAACAGCAGCAGCAGCAGAAACATCTGCCATTGGTTGCATCGAGTCTATCGCATCGTTTGCAGCTGGTGCAGCAGCGCAACGATCCTAGCCATGTGGGCAGCGTACAAATGCATTCGTTAGCTGCACAGAACCAACAACAACAGCAGCAGCAGCAGCAGCAACAACAGTTGCAGTTGGCACAGCAGCAGCAGCAACAGCAACAACAGTTGCCCGCAGAGCAGCGCAATGGGCCCAAGCGCTATTCCAGTCTGAGGCGCAGTCAACACGAGGCCACGCAGCAGCAGCAGCAACAACAACAACAGCAGCAGCAGCAGCAACATCTGGTGGAACAGCAACAGCAAATGCAGCAACAATTGCAGTTGCAGCAACAGCAGCAACAACAACAACAGCAACAACAGCAGCAGCAGCAGCAGCAATCACAGCTCATGCTTCAGGATCCTCATATGCTAATGCAGATTGCCTATCAGCAGCAGGAGCTGCAGGCGCAACTGCAGACATTGCAATTGGGCCCTGCACCATCAACAGCGGTGGCAGCGCCTCAGTCCAAGCAACATGCGCCGCCAGCAGCTGCCTATCCACAGGTACAGGGTGCGCCCTACTACGAGTCGGTGCCGGTGCAGGTGCCAGTGCCGGTGCAGGTGCCAGTGCCTGTGTCTGTGCCGCAGACGCCCTATGTGAATCCGGCCAATAGCGCTTATCTGCCGGCCACGCCCGCGGCTGTGGCCTATGCCCAGGCACAATCAGCAGCCACGGTAGCTCCGCAGCCAGCGCCTCAGGCGGCGCCACCACCGTCCACGCAAGCCGGACAGGCCTATCACCAAAATTACAATACGGTCGGTGGCACCACATATTTCGTGCCACCGGCCCAGACCACCACCCGCCCCGCTGTGCTGCCCCAGCGACGACCCACCAATGCAATACCCATCCTACCGCCATCCGAGAAGCATAAGACGCGTACGGTCAAACCGGATGAGGGTGCCAGCGGCAGTGGCAGCGGCAGCGGCGACAACATTGATCACATCATTGACAACATGTTTGTGCAGCGACCGGCTTTCCAGCCGCCGCCCACATCGGCAGGAGAGGCAGCCAGCGATGATAGCAATAGCAATTCAACTGCTGCTCAGCCAGCAGCCATTGACCAGACTAGTCAACTGGCTGCGGTTCCTGGGCAGGAATGAGTGCACGTTTATGCCAATCCGCGACAGCAGCAGCAGCAGCAGCATATGCAGCAGCAGTTACAGTTGCAGCAGCGTCGCGGGCGCAGCCATCAAACCCAGGAAGAACTCATGTCCAGTGGCTACGCCTTGCTGCCGCCTCAGATTGGCTACTATCGTGCCCACTAGCTGGCACGTTAAACCCCAAGATTTTGACGAGATTGTCTCTTTAGAGTAAAGGGTCTGTGATCATTGCCCAACACAGCCCTTTTTTTAGAGCACACATAAACACACACACACAGACACACACACACACACACACATTTGTAATTAGTGAATAGTTGCACTTAATCGAACTAACTAACGTCGTTTCGACTACACCCAGAGTTCAGCGTAAGGCTTTCCAAGTAAACCATATATATACTATATATCTAGTAATAGAAAGTATAATGAATTTTTAACCAGAGTCCTCTCGCTGGCGCTTATAATCTAAATACATAAATATATATATATATATATAGTCGCATTTTGAAGTTGGATTAATCGTGAATTGTAATTAATCATTGGACATTTGAATTTCAATAAACGTTGTAACACATAAAACAAACCCGAAAAATAATGATTATTTTCTATTTTAAGTTATTTGTGATTTGCAGAGGAAAATAAGATATGGACCTTTTCATTTAAACATTATTTTAATCTAAGTAAAAACTTTTACCCTTACTCATTAATATAAATAAAAAGTTTCAAAATTTAAAATCAAATTTAAATTTTGAAACTATTGTGGATAGATGGGATGGAATATTTGAATGTGTTAGAAGTAGCTTTGAGTGTTTCGAAAGTTTTTGGACTTCACTTCAAATATTATGCCATCAAATTACAAAATTTTTAATCGCATCTATTTGAAACTAACTCTCAGAAGACTGAATTAATTTTGTTTATGAATTTCTGCATTTACATTTAATTATTTAGACATCAATTTGAAAATGTTGTCATTTTCGAAATGAAGTTTTTAATTGATTGTCAGGAGCTGTCACGAAATTAACAGTTCAATGAGTGTCTGAATTCTATATATCGCTGCAGCCGATGGTCAAGGCTACAATAGCTAACATAGCTGGACAACAAGTACTTGCAGAACTTAGTATACATATTCTTATAAATATACATATAGCCTGTGATTGATTTGGATTGGAATGGCTTATTAAGAATTACTATGTCTTCTCTTTCCTGATATGTTCGACCTGGCAAGGCATCTCTGATTTAATTCCACATGGAATGCACACTGCTGTAAGAACTTGAGACTGTGGCGATATATGGAAAGCTGACTCTTGTATATATGTTAGAGCTTGGCAGTTTACAATTTCGAGTCATTTTGCTGCTGCTCCAGCAGCTGGCGAATGCGACGGAACGATTCAATGAAGATGGCATTGAATTTGCGGGCGCTGCTCTTGATGCTGTCCCTGTAGGCCGTCGAGTTTATGTAGATGCTGGAAGATTTAAGGAGTCATTAATATGGCCAGAAGGCTTTATGAGAGCTGTGCAACATACGCATCTGAGGTAATTGCATAGAAGACACCGTAGCCATCCAGTGTCATGGGCGCCACAAAGCCCACATTGGGCGTGAAGCCCAGCGTGCTGGACGAGAGGACGAAGTTGCCACCGCCGCCGGCCTTGGCGTACAGTGGATCATCATACAGAGCGGGTATGTCCATGTTTTTCTCATACGCAACGCACCACAGTCCAAAGAGATGCCTGTCTATGCCATGACCCCTGCGGGCCTCGTCCATTTGATATCGGTGATCACTGACAGCGGCGCGAAAAGCTTTCACCAGCTGCTCATCCGTGGTACTTTTGTTGCTGGACGCCAGCAGGAATTCGTATACAGCAGTGGTGCAGGAGCGAAGAGTCTCGGTGCGTCCGTTATAAAAGTGTCGCATTAGCGCCGTCTCATAAGTGGGCGCAATCCTGGTGAGATTCACAGATGTTAAGTAATACAAATTGGAGTGGGAAGCATTCGTTGTCTTACTCCTGATGCATCTGGTAGTACGCCCACTGCATGAGCACCTGCACAAAGGAATCGGGGTGCAGCTTCTGAGTCTTCATAAATTCCTTGCCATAATCGTCAAACACCTCGAAGGTAACGGTGACATCGATGCCCTGTAAGTATGTCTTAGAATTGGCACTAAATTTGAAGGACGTCATCCCACTCACCCGTTCCTCGATCTCGTGGAGCACGCGCTTAATCTCCGATCTGAGTGTGTCATCCAAATCGAACTTGAGCTCCTGTAGCTCCACCACGTTCGAGCCATTGACCTCATTCCAGTCCGGCTCGGGCACCTCCAGAAAACTGAGCTGTATAAATGTGGCAAAGCTAGCGCTGAGCGTTCCATCGTAGCAGCTGTGCTCGCCCGCAAACACATAGTGTCCATTCTTGAAGGCGATGATGCAGCTGCTGCGATCTCCCCAGCGCGAATGATAGTCGCCGTAGATGCACAGCTGTGACGATTCCTCGGTGCTCTGCGGCTGATGCTCATCGAAGCAGATGTCGATGCAGGAGCTCTCCACCAGCTTCAGGTTCTCCTTGTTCGCTTCCGATAGGTTCATCAGGTGCTTGCGGTTCTTGGCCCAGCTGGTACGATTGTCATGCGTGAGCGCTGGCACGCCATCACCATCGGGCTCATAGTCCAGGATGCTGCGTAGTCGCTGCAGAGCAACCAAGATCTCAGGCGCCGTCAGTATGGAATCGTCCTCGTGCACACAATTGAAAATGAACTGGCGACCCTTGCCGGTGATGGTCAGGTGCGTGGGTGTGCGTCCCTCGGACTTGGTCAGAAAGTGCTTCTCAATGTGATCCTGCTCCTCGCCCGGCACACGCGACGTCGAATAGAATTGCTTATACAAGGCCGATGAGTACTTCACCCGACCGCCATTCGACGAGAGAGGCTTTATATTCTCATTGCGCACCAGATTCCAGAACTCCAGCGTGTGATAGATCTGACGAGCGAGACTCTGAAACGAATCAAATTAGTTGCAGCTCGAACGATTGGCTTCAATGTACAACCTTGAGCATATAGTCCGGCCGCTCGGGCACGCCCACATGGGTCAGCTGACAGGGCATAGACATTATTTGATAGGGCAACAATGGCAGACGCAGCGTGTGATATGCATAGTCCTCCCACCAGCTGCCCAGCCAATTCTTCATGCTGGCCGCACGCTCCTTCAGCTTGGCCTGCAGCTCGGCTCCGATGCCCGACTCGAACTCCGCAATGATACGCCTCGTCTTGGCCAGCTCCTCGGGCGTTCCAAAGGGCACCAGGCCAGCATAGTAACGCTTCAGCGTATCCTTCAGCTCTGGCAGCGGCAGCGCCGGCAGCGTTTCATCAAAGCTAAACGTGCTCTCCTGGTTATCGCCGATAAATAAGCTGGCACGATCCATAATGACACAAAATAGCTGCTAAGCGTATTAACCACGTTAATTTGATGGTAAAGATAGCAATCTACTATTGTCTATAGATAAGCAGATAAGCTGCAGCTGATTACTTTTTTTTTGGGCAGCACAACTGGTCCAAAGTTTCAAATTGTAGCACTTAGCAGTTGGCCAAAGGTCGTTTACACAATCACACACACGCATTAAACCCGTATCTGCATTTGCTAATATGTTAATAAGCACTTATTCATTTTATTTTACAGTTAATTAGCCTGTTGCTGCGGCTGTGTTTACTGACCTTTCCGTATATCCAACCAATGTCTCCAAGTGCCGCTAAACGACTAAATGCTTTGATGAAAACGAGCCCAGTCGCAAGCGTCGCCTAGCCCTTTTGCGTATGTATGCGTGTGTGCGTGAGTCTCTCAAACTGAGTCGATTTGATAAGATTGCGATCGATCAGAACGGTTGAATGAACGCGTTGTATTGATAAAAACTCCACACATACATATGCATGTAAATATCTCGCTTAAGTGTTTTCATTTTAATGGATTTGCATTCTTGCAGTGCATGCGAAAATGAATAATAAACATGGCTCCAGAAACTAGTACAATAAACTGTGACGTCACACGTGAATCGACTGGCAGAGAGGAATACTTTGGACTTTGTACCCGCCACCCGCGCACTCAAACACTTTACTAGAGCTGAGCGCGTTTCCGATTTTTGTTGTCGTGACACGAAAACGATGTTCGTATAGAAAATCAACTAGTTGGCATAGATTTTCACAGAATTTACTAATAATAACATAACAAGGTGGAAAATTCACTTTGATGTAAAATAAAATAATTTGAAAGCATTTTAACAATATAATATTCATTATATACATATCATTTTCATTGGTAATATAAAAGATACAAGTATGTTATGTAAATTAAACATCTTTGATTAACTATTTAATAGCTTAGACAATTAGCAATAAATAATTATACTGCCCAGTTGCAAATACGCATATTCCACATATCTAGCTAACTATTGGTCTATTTCTTATGAGAAATTGGTATCTTAAAAATCCTTCTTTTCCGTCTTTTCGACATTTCCAATATTTAATTTACTGCTCTATAAATATTAACGACAAGACTTAGCTCTGCTGTCAAATTTCTACTGGGTTGCTGGCTTCGATTTGTTTATGTGCTCCAGCTGTGATGCTAACGCTGCCACACTATCGAAAAAGTGGCAACGCCGAGCGGCTTGTTTCGCAAAACATCTGGCATTAATTTCGTGAAATGAGCAAATACACAAAAAACGAATTAAATAGAACATTATATTTTCTAACAGCGCTTGCTCAATAAAGCAGCGATTATTAATTAAGCGTAGGGCCAAACAATGTTACCATCGACAGGCCTTTTCAAGAGCTTTGCTTGTCCATACTACAACAGCGCCGGCAATAGCAGCGGCAGTAATGATGAAAACGGCGAAGCGTCCTTCAACTGCAAACGTCCTTTCTGCCACTTCAAGCATAATCGCAAGGGTGAGTGTGTGTGTTCCATGTTATGCAAACACTTAACGCTAGTTGTTCGTAGATGATGTGGAAACGACACAGCCAACCGAGTCGGTGCCAGAGTACAAGCCAGCGCCGGTGCCCAAGTTGCTTTCGCTGCCGCTGCCCGAGATGACGATGTGTGCACCCAAAAAGAAACCAAATCTGGAATACCATCCTGAGAAACCGGCCCTAAATGCCTCGCCGGCGAAAAAACCATTTGGCGACGCGGCGACTGCACCCAAATATGTGCCCTCCGCGATAGCAGCGACAAACGGTGCGGACGGCGACTGGGCAGAACATGACAAAGCTGAAGAACAGCAGCAAGAGCATGAGCAAGAGGAAGTGAAGGCGGAATTGGAAGCGGAATTGGGTGCGGAATTGGTCGAGTTGGCCAAAACGAGTACTGAAACTAAGCCCGTACAAGAGATAGCTAGCGAGGAGGTTCCAAAGAGCGACAACGAAAAGAAAACTTCATCGTCTTCATCCAGTGCTCGCAGCGAGAGTCGCAAACATGAACACAAATCTAGAGAAGATAAAGAACGCCGCAGCTCGTCCCACAAAGATAAAGAACGTGGCGAGCATCGTAGCTCCAGTTCCAGCTCCAAGCACAAATCATCAGCGTCCTCCTCAGCATCGTCTTCGCATAGAAAGTCATCCAGCAGCGATAAGCATCGCAGTGACAAGAAATCTGACAGCAAGGAGAGAAACAGTTCGTCCAAATCAACAACATCGTCAACATCATCATCGTCCAGGAGTCGCCATCACAGTAGTTCCAGTTCGAAATCCACATCACGCAGCTCGAGCAGCTCCAAATCCAAAACCTCCACCGCCACCTCCACCTCCACCTCCACATCCAACTCCAGCTCCAGCTCTAGCAGAAGCAAAACCAAAGCCGAAGCAGACACCCCTAGTGAACTGCCAGCCAAGCCCGAAGATGACTTTGCATTGGACTATGAAATGAATGTGGATGTTTCCGAGGCGGAGATTGTGCGTCAGTGTGAAATGATATTTGATGAATTGGAGCAGGAGTTTGCCCACAAGCCGGAGGAGACGAGCGCGGAGAACGCGCGCAAACGCAAAGCCCCTTCGCCGGACATTGAGGCCTACACCGAAGCAGCTACTGCGGCCTTGCAGAAGCGTCGCGTTGCCCACGAGAATGCGGACAAGTGCAAGCCCCAAGCTCCTGTGGGTGTGCACAAGCCCAATCATATACGCAACGCCATGCAGGCAATATTCGACAGACGGACCGAACTGCGGCGTCAGGAAGCGCTGCGCGCCGAGGCAGATGCGGAACTGTTGCGCCAGGCCCAGGAGCGCGTGCGCGTGGCTCAGGAGGAACTGCGCGAAGCGCGTGCCAAGACCCTAACGCCACTCATATCACGCAGCTCTCTGGCACCTCCAACGCGCACAGGTGGGTCAACTATCTATCTATCCATCTACATAAATTGGCTTGATCTAAAATATTTTGGTTTTATGCTTGCAGCACGCACCATAACGCCCGTGGCTAATGTGATAGCCATAGCGCGCGCCAAGAAGAAAATAGAGGAATTGCAGGCGGAGAAGAAGCCCGCTTTCACTGCTGCCCAGACATTTAAAGGCGGTAGCCGTTTGGCTCATAAGCCTACTGCGGCGCTGGACAAGGTGGCGCCTGCAACTGGTGTCGCTGCTGCCAAACCACCGGTGTTGGAGCCACAAAGCTCGAAAATATCGTATAATATACGCATGCAGTATTACGAGATGATGGTGAAGCAGTGTATCATTATCTATCCACAACTGGCTGACGCCTGGGAGCGAGCCCAGGTCGAGGAGCTGGCCGTGTTCAAAAAGTGCAGCACGCCGTCGATCTATAAGAACAGCTGCATGTTGGCCATCAATAAACTACGCAAGGAGGCCATCGAGGCGGGCAATCAGCCCAGCGTGGCCAATAAGACTGTCTCGCACGAGATGATGTTGGGTGGCAAACGGGCGCTCACCACATCCTGGAGCGTTGAGAAGAAGGAGTACGTAGGTGGAATTGATTGCGTTCAGGTCTTAACTCATATTTTACTCTGTCTTTCAGCAAATCCTCGTCGGAGCCTTTTGATACACTCGACGCGGAGAAGGCATACCAAATGGTCTACGATCTGCATCTGACCGACGAGCAGCTGGTGGAGAATGGCTATCCACGGCCGGGCAAGGTACGCGGCACAGCTGTTATACGCGCCTGCCGCCCCAATCGACGACCCAACGAAACCGAACGCTATTGCACCCGCTGTGGCAAGGTGTTCAATCTAAGCATTTATGACACCAAGTGCACGGACATGTGCAACTATCATCCAAAGAGCACGGGCTATCGGCGCGGCTTCACAGACAATCAGCATCGCTGCTGCCAGCAGCCAGCGGGCACGCCTGGCTGCAGCTATGCCAACTATCACGTTAGCGACTACTATGATCCCGATAAGCTGACCTGCTTCATAAAGACCATTGAGCGTTCGGACGACTATGTGCCCACCAAAAAGGATATTTACGCGCTCGACTGCGAAATGTGCTATACGACGCACGGCATCGAGCTGACTCGAGTGACCGTTGTGGACATCAATGGACGCAGCGTTTACGATGCTCTGGTCAAGCCAGACAATCAAATTGTCGACTATAATACTGTGTAAGCATACGGCTTTGAGTAACTAATTTCATTGATTGACTGATTTTATTCGTGCTAGATATTCGGGCATTACGGAAGCGATGCTGTCAAAGGAGACACGAACGCTACGCGATGTTCAGGCGGTGCTTATGTCCATGTTTCACGCCAAGACGGTGCTAGTGGGTCACAGCCTGGAGAGCGATATGAAGGCCTTGAAACTAATACATGATGTAGTCGTGGATACATCTGTGCTGTTCCCACACAAAATGGGCCTGCCCAAGAAGCGAGCGCTCAAAACGCTATGCATTGAAAATCTGAAGCGCATTATACAAGAAAATGGTAAGCAGATGCTCATCTAACTATATAAATATCGAGATCACAATCTATGCTCGATTTGCAGAGGCTGGCCACGACAGCGCTGAGGATGCGGAGGTCTGTATACAGCTCATCAAATACTATCTGCGCAACAAGATTAGTTGAGCTGTAGCGGATCGCATTAATCGATTAAAGTTTGGGATTGGACTTACAATGTCATCAATGCGGGCACATTACATACGATTCGTATTATGTAACTCAACTTCATAGCCGATCCCACATTTGAAATCAAACGTATCCCATAAGTGAGCCTTAAGATCCAAAACAAATATCTATAATATATATGAAACCTATATATATTATATTAAATATAAACAATAAGATATTATTGTAAATGTTTTACATGTGGTGCGTTCTCTCGTGCTTTGCATAGCGACCAGATGCGCTCGAATTCCTGCTCCAGTCGCTTGGCAATTCGTGGCGAACTGGTTATGAGGAAGTCGTCACAGCTTCTGGGCAGCGATATCCAGTTCATGGAGCCAGTCATGCACACGGTCAAGGCCGGTGACTTCTGTGCTCGCTTGGCCATGTAGCCATCGATGACACAGAACTTGTGATGCATGGTCATTTCACGCGGCTGTCTTGACAGTGGAGATAGCCTGCGCAGCCATATGCAATCGCCGTACTTGTTTTGCAGCATCTGATAGCTTTTGTAGCAGATCAGACGCACTCGTACTCCACGCTGACTGGCGCGACGCAGTGCATCGCCAATGGCATAGGAATCCATCACGTATATGGCTATATCGATTGAATATTGCGCTCGGTCCATGTGCTCAATGATGTGTTCCAGCTGCCTCCAAATGCAACTGGTATCCTCACATTTGCTAACGGGCGTCTGATGCAGGACAAAACAATTTCTGAAATACTGATAGGATATGAACGCCGCCTGATTTACGGACTTGCCGATGCGATCGTTCGCCCATTCCCGCTTTAGTCTCGCATAGTGGGCTGCCAGCTGAAATGGTTCGCTACAGCAGAGCTTTAAGAATTTTATTAAATAATATAGCATTTTCGCTTTCTCGTTCCTAGTCGAGCGGCAAACGAAATGCAATTGCAGTGCTGCCAATTTTCAGCATCAAAAGTAATCGCAGTGTTGCCAGCCTGAGCTTATGTCAATTGTTGGTAAATGCAGTATTGCCAGCGTATAGTAAAGCATAACAGCGCTGCCGGCTGTGTGAGCAGATTGCACTGAGGCCAGATACAGCGCTGCCAGAGCATAGTGCAATAACAGCGTTGCCACCTGCAATCAGTAGATTGAAGTTGACGATTGGCATTGCCAGATTCGATTTGTAGTTATGTTAACTTGTGCCGTTGCAGTGCTTTGTTTTTGTGCTCAATGCAATGTAAACATGGTGTTGCCAGTCTTAAAAGATGTACCAACGTAAGAATTAAATTAAATTCTGATATATATATATATATATATATATATATTGAGAGCCCATATTTCGTACAGTTGAATTATTTTTATGAAGCTTGGTTTGATTTGTTTTATTTTCTGATCATTTAATTGCTGCTTAATATTTTTATTATTTTAGGCCATAAGCTGATTTCGCCATCAACAGCACTCGAGCATAGTTTTTCAGCTTTAGATAACTAAGTTTTTCCTCTCAAATAACAAAAAAATATATATAAACACAAAACTTTAGCTTCACAGGTGCCACAAAAAACTTCATAAATTGCAAGTTTCATAACTTTTTTTTGTAATTTGTAATATGTATCGCATAGACTTGTTGCTGTAGAGGGTATTGCTGAGGGTACTTTAGGCTTGTAATGGGATTTGTGACACAATGAATATTTATATATATTTATGATCCGTATCAGCTATAGAGTTGATATATTTACTAAGGTAAGGAAAAAATAAAACAAAAATTAATATTCATTTAAAAATTAGATAAAACAAAATTAGATTATATGAAACTTAATATACTTTAAAAAACACTATAAAGTGACAAAAGAAAATAAAAACAAAATCTGTTTCATTTTACAGTTATATAATTGATATAAAGGGTATTCATTCGTCTGATATAGAGATACAATCTTAGACAGATAAGACCAATGCCTTATACAAGCTTAGTTGTATACCACTTCCTTTTTTTATAGCATAAACTTTAATTTTCCATTCCATATCTTACAGAGTCTTAGCCCAAGAAGTGTATGCAGTAGTCGTTTTGGTATAGAATTCTTGTTCTTTCATGTTTGAATGTAATTTAAATCAGATTCATGTTGTACTCGATATATTTTTCAATTATACGCGCAACGGCTGTTGGCAACAGCTGCTCGCAAATGTTGTTGTTGCTGTTGTAATTGTTGCTGTGGCTGTTGTAATTGTTTAACAAGTATTTGCATGATGTGGTCTTTCAGTTTTCATAAAAGTTCTTGCGTATCGAACTTTTGCGCCGTGAAATTCTATTACTCTAAAACAAAAGAGGAAGAAGACGAAGCAGAAGAAGAAGAGAACAAGAAACAAAAATCGGATAAAGCTATTTTTTTCGCTGTACTTTTATTGGCATTGGCACAGTAATTCGTAGTAATTGTTTCCGCCGGACTTTGATTGGGCTTTCTTTTGGTTGGGAAATGGTTGAATAGATATGACTGGGAGTGGCTGGGGACAGGAGTGGGTTAGCCGGGACAGGTCTGCTTCACACATAAACCTAACGAAATGTAAATAATATTAGTGGTACTTGGCAATGACAATGTGCATATGTGGCCCAAAAAGCCGAAAGACCGCACACAGTGCAAACAAAGCACACGCAAGTGACGCCTCGAGGGCTCGCCGAGGGAGCGGGCCTAAAGGGAGGCCGCCGAAGGGCTAGTGCGCAAAACAAACACAAGACCCAAATACAAACAACACACACACACACATACACGAATACTAAGAAGCTAGAAAAACAAGTGTGGATGGGAGCACAAGTGGGGGTGGAGATGGGGGCTGGGGGCTAAGTCAGTGCTGCTTGACTTGTCCCTCTGTCACACATTGGGCGACCTGGCCAGGCGGAAGTATACTTAAGACCGTCGAAATAGAGGCATTAAGATCTTTACAGTTAATCCCTTGAGTAAATGTTGGCTCTGTGTAGGTGTGTGTATGTGGTCGCGAGGACATTGTTGTGCCAATACACATACGTGTGTGCGAGTGTGTGTGTGCACATAGTGTATACACAGTGAAAAATGTGGTTAAAAATAAAGCAACATAATGTTGGTTGGGCACTTAAATTTAAGCTAACTTTGTTGCAAATCGAGCATGAATTAAACAAGTTACTAAGGCATACTAAAAATTCGATTTAAATATTCTTTACTTAACGATTTTAAGAGCTCTTCAGTAAGTCTTAAAATAAAAACTTAACATTTTCGTTAAGCTGTTAAAAAATATTGACAGCTCCCAAGACTGTTAATAGCTTGAGGAGACTATAAATAGAAAATGTTAGCTTGTTAACCTTATGTTAAAGCTTCCTAAGATAGACATAACTCAGCAGCGTCTTCTGTTAAGCAAGCGACCCTCACACAGCGACATTGTTCTTATTGCTGTTAGCTTTAAAAGCTACGTCGAGAACTGAAAACTGCTGCTTTTGCACTTTAATTTATTTAAATAACACAACAAATTATTTTTAATAGAATTTTATTTTATCATTCGCAGTTAAACATGGAAATTGATATTTAAAATCTCCTTTTCTGTTCTGGACGAGGTTCGAACCTGCGCAAATTTATTGAGATTTTGTTAGTGTGCGCAATTACATTTCCGCCCTTAAGCGAGTAATGAATGAATTTTAACAGAATTTCAAACACATCCGTAGTTAAGCGTGAGGTTGCGGGTTCGAAACCCAAAAAAGTAAAATTTTAAATTTTTTTAACAGGCTTTTGAGTCATTGGAAAGGTAAGCAGAAACATAGATTTTAATACAGCTCAAGCTTCAGACACACTCACTTTTTACAGTGTATGTTGTCTAGTTGTTATTAAGCTTAAGCACATCCAAAAAAAGGCTTAAAAGCTTGTCTACATATTCATTTTTTGGGGGACCCGTGCGCTGCTGCTGTCTTGTGACTTGGGCCGCGCTTAATGTTAGCTACTAAATATTTCAGTTAACCAGCGACAATGACAACAACAACAACAACAACAACAACAACAACAAGAGCAGAAGCAACAAATGCCTCTCATGCGTGCAAGTTAAGTGCTTAAATCATTTAGCCTAACGATTTTGGCTTTTAATTTGCACTTTCGGCTAACAACGGTAGGCAAAGACAGAAGGCGCGTCACGTATTTATTTAAGCAAATTGCGCAAAAATATTAAAGCAGGCGAAAAACTGAAAATAATGCGTGCGCTCCGCCAGACCAGCTGCCGAAAGCTGGCGAAAACCTTTTTACAACTTTTCTAGAGCCGCAAAGCAACAAACAAAAAAGAACCAAAACTGTTAAGCAGCCCCGCCCACATATAAATAAGGCCAAAAAGCAGCAAAAAAGGCGCAAAGAAAACAAGGGCGGAAAGCGCAAAATAAAGTCATCACAAACATATTAGCAGCGAAAAACACCTGAGCAAATAGATTTATATGCACGATAAAGCACAGAGTAATTTCCCTTAGATCCTGTCGCCTGTGCTACCGGTGCCCCCGCTGCGCCCCGTTGTTCCGCCCCCTGCCTAGCGCCAAGTGCAGCACATTTGCCACTCGGCTCTCGCCTGTTGCCTAAGCCACAAAATAGCTGGGGCCCAAGATAACATCACTTTATTGTAAGAAAGTTAAAACACAGAAATGCAAGCCAAAGCCAGCGCCAGAGCCAAAGCCAAGCCAAAGCCAAATAGCCCAAAAAGGTAACTGCGTGTAAGTGTCTCCCTCTCCTTCTCGCCCACTTTCTCTCTCGCTATCTCCCACCCTCTCTGTGTGCGTGTGAGCAGGCACTTAAAAAAATGCCAAAAATAAAAATGCCGACACATGCTCCAAGCCAAAAATCATACAGATAAATGTGACAACTTTTATATGCTCTACCTAAAGATATTTTGAAAACCTTGAAGAGCTTTTTACAGATGTAAAACTTCAATATTCAGATAAGCTTTCATAATTTCCTTAATCTCCTTTAAATGTTCCCTCTTAATTTCTTTTGAGCACAAACCTAATATTTATATATTACCCTTATTTTCAAATATGACCATTATTTTTATAAATGTGCTCCAAATTTCCTTTATAAATTCCATGAACTATTTTTGTAAATTAGTTTATGTAATATTTTTGTTACCACTCCCAAAATATAATCTTTATTATACATTTTTCTCAATATAAAAAAATATTATTTGCATGAAATTTCTCTGAAATTCCATTATTTACATATATTCCCTTAAATTTTTTAATTGCTTTCAAATTCATATTTCTTTAAATTCCCAGTTTTTGCATTACCTTCTTATTTCTTTACACAATAAGTTTCATTAACTGTGTACCCTGCCCCTGTTTCTGCATAATTTCCCTTTCTTTCCACAATTCCCCACAAATAGTTCCTTTTAAATGGCATCATTATCACAACTGCCATAAAATCCCTTTAAGCATTTGAAGTCTTCTGTAAATTTCCCTCTGTTTAACAATTTCCCTTTCCCTCTTCTTCACAGTTAACATTTCTAGAACTGTGAGCACCTAGTGAAATTGTTAACATATATGGCAACTGTTACCACACATCTATAAATTATTCCTTAAAGCTGCTGGCGAAGTAAATGCAAAATTTAAGCTACTCTATTGCAGTGTATATCTAACAGAGCATATAAAAGTTTTTCGATGTCATTTTGGCATTGGTTTACGAGCGATTTCCTCAGGTTGGGTGCGAAATTATCAAAATTTACTTGAAGACGCGAACTCGAACTCGAAACTCGAAGTCGAACTCGAAATCCCATGGGAAGCTGCTGACTGTGCGGCCACGCAACAATGGGAGTTAAACCTGCAACATGCAACACAAGCTGCAGCACGTGCTGCAAGCATGTGACACCAAACTAGGCTGAGAGGGAGAGAGGGGGGAGAGAGGAAGCAGGAAATCGCATAAAGTTATACGAGGCGAGGTCA